TCTGCTTCTGCTTCTGCTTCTGCTTCTGCTTCTGCTTCTGCTTCTGCTTCTGCTTTCTCTTCTTCACACCTCCTTCACTCACAGAGCAGCCGCTAACGCGCGCAGATCAAATACACCGAGCTCCCCGACTTTGACGAGGTCTTCGCCGCCGGCACCGCCGCCGGCCTCGTCCCCATCCGCTCCATCACGCGCCGCATCGCCCCCTCGACCCCGGGCTCCCTGTCCGCCGCCCGCGCCGGCGCCCCGCGCCTCAGCGCCGCGGCCCCCGGCGAGGAGACGGTCACCTTCATCCCCGACGCCCAGGCCGACGCCGGCCCCGTGTGCCTGCAGCTGCTGGGCGCGCTCAAGGGCATCCAGTCCGGCAAGGCCGAGGACGCCTTTGGCTGGCGCTTCGCTGTTGCCGAGGCGGACGGGGCCAAGGTGCTGGTCGAGGCGAATGGCGCGTAGACGGGAGGGATGATTGGTATTTAAAGTGAAAGAAAGTAAAATTTGAGACAGCGTGCTAGACAAGCTTTTGTTGGAAATTCTATCTCTTGTTGATGTACCAGTTCTCCCATGTGCTTGTGGCATACGCTTGCAAACTCGAGTGTGAATCAATAGCCTGTCCCACGTCATGATCCCCGGGTTGCACGAGGGAATGCATACTTCGCGATCATGGCTCGCTTGAGAGTTCCACTCGTCCGACAGCCATGTCAAGGATGTGATACTCACTTGCGATTCCACCTGACAGCTACCCAGGGCTGGGCCGCTGCTCGTATTCACCAGTCCCTCGTACCATGGAATGCTCGGAAAGCGTCCCAAGATGCTCGATGCGAAGTCATATATGGATGTCAGTTTCTGGAGAAACCATAGCACCACCATCAAATCTCTGGCCCAAGTGTGGCAGCTACATGCAAGAGCAGCAAGTGCTCACAGCTACCTATTCGCCTGGCCCCCAGACGTGTCATTCGACCCAATCCGACCAGCAGATTCCCACCGTCAGAGACCGTTTCGAGCCCTGATCCCACGCCGCACTCTGACTTCAAAGCTCAATCAAATCCATACCCATCAAAACGCCAAGCTCCGGGACCTCCTCGACGCGCCGAGCCCACGCAGATTCTTGCAGCAGCAGTTGATGTTTTTTCTCTAGAAGAATGCGCAGGTCGTCGAGACACTCACCAAACAGCATGTCGCGGTACCACGATCTCGACGCAAGGCGGGCAAAGACGCATGCAACATCATCGGACGAACACTGTTGTCCCTGCGGTGGCGCGGGATAAGCAGACAGCCAGGCCGTAAGCCTCTCGTTGAGGAAAGCGCCCATTCCTCTTTCATATGCTTGAAGCAGTGTATCATTGAGCCAGTGGCCCAATTTGATGCAGGTTAAGCAGTCTTGCAACGTAAACCTCGGTGTAAGAGTGACGCTGGGACCGGCTTCGTCGGCGTCAGTCCGCAAGAAGGAACGGCGTCAGGGAAGTTGACTCACATTCTTGATACATAGATCTGAACATGTGATGGAGGTGTTTGATGCCAAGAGGAGCCCAGGTGTTCGGGATAACCACCACAATCGTCACCGGGGCGGTGTTGAAGCGACACAAGCCTCGAGCGTATTTGCGCTCCAACTGAAGGCACCGCACTGTTAGTTTCAGAAACAAGATGAGCAACGAGGAACCGCAAACGTACGTCCTGCTTTCCGTGGAATTTAACGGCATAGCATCTCGGGTATACGACTTCCCTGTGTAACCGCCACACGTGTAGAACACCTTTGACCAGAAAGCCGACGATCAGATCATACGGCTGGCCCTTGAAATTAAAGTTTCTACTAGGAGTCAGTGTCAAGTCATCCAAAATGTAAGGAACAGACAACTGGAGCCGCGGCTGATAGGCTCGACTGATGGCAAAGGCTGACGATACGATACACAGGAAGGAGAACGTACTCCAGAGGTGCCATGGCCATTTTGGGCCCTCCTTGTGTGCCCTGTGCAACTCGTCTCTCGATAAGATCGTGGTCGGTCTGATCGGGCCACTTGATATCGGCTGGCGTATCGTTGATGTGGCCGATGGAGGACCCGTTTGGCTGATCTCCCACTCCCGAGATGCTCGAAGGAAGGGTGGAGCCTGCGGAGGCATCCGAACCAGAGACGGCCGACATTGACTCAGATAAGATTTTCTCCGAGCCAAGGCAAGGAGAGTATAGCGAAGTTTCGGCCTGGTGCTGGTATAGGGCACCTGGGCTGTAGTTCGCAGTATCTCTGTCGTATTTGCGGCAAGTGAAAGTTAAAAAAGAAAGAACTCATATTTGAGGCCGAAAGGCTTTATGAATCATTACTCGTTCAGCATCGTCAGATGTGAGAGTGCCTGCCTTTGGCGCGTTGGACTTTGTGCCTGCCCGAGCTATCCTTCTGGCACCAGGTCCTTCCTCGTCGTCATTGTTGTCGTCCGCGTTGTCGCCCTCGCCTTCATCGCCGTCCGGCGGCTTTCTCGTGAGTACGGTGTAGTTCTTCAGGATGTCATTCTTCTGAGGCTTTCCAGAGTGGCCCCATTCATGCCATGGAACAAGAACAAAGCATGTTTTGAACTGGCATGGCACCAGATGGAATGGTTCAAGATATGTGAAAAGGGTAGTATCGAAATCTTGTCTGATAATCCAAGGTAAAGGGAGGAAAGAGCTTTCTTCTATTTGAATATGGACTCATGTTACAGTGCAGCATCCAGTGCATGAGGTGAAGAGTGTTTGATACTTCCTCGCCCCTTATTCCAGGTTTGGTTGAGGTGCTCTTGCCTCTGAGGCCTTCGGCAAGCACTGACAGTCCTCTTCATCCAGTGATGCCTGCATCAGTCCCATCATGAGATGCACGATTGTATCCGATTGTGTTTGATTGCAAGCAACAAGGCCACCTCCATGCCATGCATTGGTTAACAATCCACAAACTGGGTGCTATTTGAGCTAACATGCTGGCTGGCTGGCTGGCTGGCTGGCTACCTGTCAGAAGTACCGGGAGAGGCTGTGCACAGTGGCTTGGCAGGCTCCGTGGCTGATGATGTCTGCCTACGTCACATCCCGAATGTGAGTGGGGACCTCGAGCTGCAGCTCCGTCTTGTCTCTCATCTTGGTCACGCTTGGCTGCACCGCGTCACCTGCCACCATCAGCGCACCTACGAGTACCTACCACTGATCTCTACCTCGCGATACACCTCTCCGTCGAAAGCTCGACCTCGCCCTCTCTGCTGTTTGGCCGCAGAGAAATGCGCCGACGTCATAATGGACGACCTATTTGATTATGCGACCAAAAAGAAGACCAACGAAACTTGCAATGGTGCCGACTACCTCCGACCGCGAAACGTAGACATCACTGTCCAGTTGGGATTGTCGCTTGTGCTTGGCATTTCAGCGTTTACCACCTTTTGTGTGCGTCGAACCCTCGTCACTGTCACCTTTGCTTGCTGACCGTGTCTCCCAGATCTTGCGACCCCGATGGTCTTCCCTATATGCGGCGCGCAAACGACGCCTCGACCCTACCATCGGACTCCCTGCGTTGCCCGACACCTTCTTTGGATGGATTCCAGGGCTGTTCAGGGTCACCGAGGAGCAAGTTCTGGCCTCGGCAGGCCTTGATGCCTTTGTCGTAGGTGGCACTCCTCGGCAGTCGTGTGAGGGGTCCCTGTGCTGACTGATCTAGTTCCTGTCCTTCTTCAAGATGTCTATTCGCCTGCTTTCGATCATGGCCTTCTTTGCCTATGCCGTCCTCCTTCCGGTGAACCGACACTTTATGAGCGATTCCGGCCACCACGGCAAACACCCCAGCACTACCGTGCTTCATACCGTCTACGGCCAGGCCAACCTTGACGGCGCCTTCGAACCATCCCACGGTGTTGGCACCGTTGCAAAGAACAACGGCAAGGCCCATCTTTGGGCATGGCTCGTCTTCACCTATTTTTTCACGGCTCTCACCATTTACATTGTGAACAAGGAGACGTTCCGTGTCATTCGTGTGCGTCAGGAATACTTGGGAACGCAGTCTACCATCACCGACCGCACGTTCAGGTTGACCGGGCTTCCTTCCAACCTCAAGGACGAGCAGAAGATCAAGGAACTGATCGAGGGCCTGGAGATTGGCCAAGTCGAGACCGTCAGCCTGTGTCGCAACTGGAAGGAGCTGGACGGCCTTGTTGCGCAGCGCGAGGCCATGCTGCGCAAACTTGAGGAGGCGTGGAGTGTCTACCTGGGGAAGCAGTCTGCTCTGCCAAAGTCAATCCAACGCCTCAGGTCGAACCGGATTGAAGACGAGGAGAACCAGGGATCTGGCAGTGGCGACAGCGACGAACAGGAAGATGCGGGCGAGAATGGACGGCTTCTTAGCCACGAGGACATTCGGCCCGAACTGATCGAGAGACAGCGACCCTCGTTAACGCTGCGGTACGGCCTCTTGGGTCTCCGCACCCGCAAGACGGATGCGATTGATTACTACGAAGAGAAGCTCCGACGTCTCGACGACAGGATTATTGCCTCGCGCAAAAAGACCCCGGCTGCTGCGTCAACGGCGTTTGTCACCATGGACTCGATTGCGGCGTGTCAGATGGCGATCCAGGCCCGTATCGACCCCCGACCCGGCCAACTGCTCACAAAACCTGCGCCGTCCCCGTCAGATGTCATCTGGGCGAATACGTATACGCCTAGGGGCGTCCGCCGGCTTCGCTCCTGGGTCATTACGATTTTTGTTACACTGCTGTCTCTCGTCTGGATCGGTTCCGTTGCGTCCCTCGCGGGACTCTTGACCATCTGCAACCTCAAGAAATGGTTCCCGAACGTTGTGGCAACGCTGGATGACCTACCTGTGCTCCGGGCCCTGATAGAGACAGGTTTGCCGACACTCCTCGTCTCGTTGCTCAACGTGGCTGTCCCGTACCTGTACGACTTCTTGTCGTATCAACAAGGCATGATCTCCAAGGGCGACGTCGAGTTGTCCATCATTTCCAAGAACTTCTTCTTTTCCTTCTTCAACATTTTCATCGTGTTCGCCATTTCGAGCACCGCCATCAATATCTTCCAGGTTGTGGGAAGGGTTCAAGACGGCCTTCGCGACACGGGAGCCTTTGCGCGCTTCATTGCCGGACAGATCAACGACCTCAGCTTTTTCTACACCAACTTCATCATGCTGCAGGGTCTTGGCTTGTTCCCATTCCGCTTGCTGGAGGTCGGCAGTGTCTTGCTGTACCCGATCTACCGCATGGGCGCCAAGACGCCACGCGACTTCGCCCAGATCATGTCGCCGCCTGTTTTTAGCTACGGCTTCTACCTCCCGACGGCATTGCTCGTTTTCATCCTGTGCCTTGTGTACAGCGTCATTCAATATGGCTACCTGGTTCTGACGGTTGGACTCGTCTACTTCACATTTGGCTACTTCACCTACAAGTATCAGCTTTTGTACGCCATGGACCAGCCCCAGCATGCGACCGGTGGTGCGTGGCGCATCATCTGCAACCGCGTGGTGCTGGGTTTGTTCGTCTTCCAGGTCGTCATGATCAGCGAGATGGCCCTCGAGTCGGCCTTTATCCAGTCGGTGCTGACGTTCCCTCTCATTTTCTTGACCATTTGGTACAATTATTACTTCAGCCGGCGCTTCGTCCCACTGACGTATTTCATCGCCCTTCGCTCGATCGTGCCGGAAGCTGGCACCGGCGAGGAGGCTGTGGCTGACGACGAGGACTTTGACGGACCTAGACCGTCGCATGGCCTGTTGAGGCGCGGTAGCACAATTGATGAGGACAAGGAAAAGGGGATGAAATTTGTGAACCCGAGCCTCACCTATCGGTATGTTATGACTGTTCTTGCCTTCGTGGTCCCTAGCTAACGTGGTGCAGTCTGGAAAACCCCTGGATTTACCAGGACCCTCCCCCGACACAGCCATCCGAGGCGGAAAGCCAAGAGCAGCTGGTCGACATCCAGGCCTCCCCTGACCAAGGCCTCAATCACACCGGCACGTCAGAGAGCTCCCTGAGTCTGGGGGACGCGCATATCTGGAGGGATAACAGCGAGAACCGGGCGTGATATGATGATGCGATGGAAGTAATGCGCGGTTTGGTTATACTGTTTGGTGCCCTGGCACCTTGCGAAGCACAGCTTGGCGTTCGGATCGATTTGGGAGCGCGTCGAAGCTTGGTTCAGACAAGTCCACTAGTTTCTTTATACACGTTATGCGCGAACCTCATTCCGTTGTGATGATGATTCTCAACACAGCAAAGCCATTACGGTACTTGACTTCGTTGCCGTTGGCCACTGGCGTATGGACAGGGCTCTGTTTGTGATGATGTCTCGACATTGCTTGGGTATCCTAACTCTATGTGACCTCACTCCAACGAACAGTACTGATCTAAGGGTTGGTCTAAGGGTTGCTCACGTAGCTCCGCGCCCTCCTCAGATCGTCATCCTGCTCCTCCGTGCGCAGCGGGTCATCCTGCGCAGCACGCCGCTTCCCGGCCCCGTCGTCGGCCCCCGTCTCCTCGTCGTCGCCCGAATACGCAAAGCGGCTGCGCGCCCGGATGCGGGCGCCGTACCGCCAGAACAGGAACGGGATGCCGCAGCACAGCAGGCCGATGGCGGCCAGCAGGGTCGAGGCCCACTGGTCGCCGAGGCGGCCGTACATCTGCTCGGTGAAGAGGACGACGGCGGCGCCCCAGAAGGAGCGGATGCACGTCTTGGCGGCGAGCGCCGACGCCGCCTGGTGCTGGTAGCTGTCGACGAGGTAGTTGTTGGCGGCGTTGTAGAGGAAGATGAAGCCGAAGCCGACGGGGAAGCCGCCGAGCGCCGGGCCGATCCAGTGCACGCCGGGGTAGCTCGTCCACGCGAAGAGGAGCAGCCCCGCCGGGATGCACCAGCAGCTCGCCATCATGGGCACGAGGCGCGCCTCGGCGGGCGGCCGGCCGTGGTGCCGCGCCGCCAGCCGGAGGTAGTGCCTGTTGACGGCGGGCGCGCAGGCCGCCGAGCAGAGGACGCCGATGGCTATGGGGAGGAACATGAGCCCTGTCGAGCCGGCCGACCAGCCCTTGCCCTTCTGGTAGACGATGGGGTAGGCGACGAAGAACATGTAGAGCAGCCCGTAGAGGACCGACATGTAGACGCTGATGAGGAAGACGATGAGCTCGCCGAAGAGGAGCTGGAACGGCCGCACGAGGAAGACGCCGAGACGCGCTGTCAGCGGCCGGGGGTCAATGTCCTGTTCCGTCACGTGCGTCGGGTCTGACGTCTCGGCGCGGAGCTTGGCGGCGCGGCGCGCCAGGATGGTCGGCGTGTACGTCTCGGGGACGGTGAAGGTGATGAGGACCCAGACGACAAAGGCGAGGATCAGCTGGAGCCAGTAGAGCCAGCGCCAGCCGAGTGCATCGGAGAGGAAGCCGCCAGCGAGGGGGCCGACTGTTTTTCCCTTTGTCAGTGCGTGATTGTATCACGAGGCAGACCAAAACGTACTGGCAGGGCCGATGAATGGGGCCGCAGAAAAGGCAGCCATGGGCACGCCGCGCTCCTCATTGCTCCAGAGATCGGCAAGAGTGCCGCCGACGAGCGTCATGGGTGCCGAAAAGGCAATGCCGTCAATGGCACGACAAACAATGAGGGTGCCGATGTTGTTCGCAACGGCGCAAGGAATAATGAAAATAACAGCCAAGAGCAAGGTCGAGCCACTACAGCAGTCAGTTAACAAAAAGCCCAAAGGAAAAAGGCAATTTGTAACGTACTATATGATCCTACGGCCGAAAACCTCGGAAAGGGGTGCAAAAGCCATGGGCCCAATGCCAAAGCCGACGACAAACACCGAGACGGTCACCAGCGCCACCTCCTGGCTGACGTCAAATTCTCGCGCGACGCCCGCAATGTCGGCCGTGATGATACTCGAGCATAAAGCGACGACAAAGCACGTCAAGGCCACGACAAGCGTGCAGTACCAACGGAACACCTTGCTCCAGTTGCGGGGGTTCTCCGGATCATTGGGTCGGAAGGTGACGAGTTTGTACTGTTCCTGGACGGCGGTGCCGCCACTGCTGCTGCTGCTGCTGGCGGGGACGGGGGGCCCGGGGATTTCGCCCCTGGGATCCGTTGTCGTGTACTCGGCGAGGTTGGCGTTGGAGGTGAGAGTGCGGTAGGGCAGGGCGATGTCGAGGTCGGGATCGCGTTGCTCCTTCGTAGGTGGGTGGGCGGGAGAAGAGCCCGATGTCTCTGGGGGAACGGACTTTTCCATGATGAGGAACAATGGTCAACGAGCAAAGACAAGGTAAAAGGCAGCGGAGCGGGGAGAGGAAGCAAAGCGAAGCGTGTCACTTCAATGCTTCTAGAAACAAGCCAGGCGCAGAGCCTCTTTATACTTGGGCCGCGGCCGCCTTCACATCGGCAAGGTTCGGCCACAGCATCGCGACAAGGCCCACATGTCCTAGACGGCCGTCACGGAGGAAGCACGGCGATATGAATGAGATAGGAAGACAGGGTCTCATAATACCCACGTCAAAGCGGTAGTTCAGGGCCATCATTATGGTGTTGGCCAATGGTGACGGTCAGGGGGCCATGTGTTTGGGCGCCTTACTCCCAAAGTGGAGGCCGTCATGGAAATGAACGGGAATAAAGTACCTAAATACAGGGATGGTCGATGTTGCTGTGGGCGCGATCAGGGGATATCTCGGCATGTCGTCGTTTTTCAATAGTAACATAGTTGTGACGATTCTCTTCAAAAGGATGACCCAGACCCCTGAGGTCGCCTTAAAAGGCAGACTTGTGCAAACATAATCAAAGCGATCAAATGCCTTCTCAGTAACTTGGAACATGCTCTCTCGGTATCCGTAGTTTCGCCAAAGGACGGCCCCTCCCGGACGCCGGTTTCTCACCGGGAATTATGGGGCACCGGTCCTTACGCCCGGATCGCAAATTTTCTGAAATGGAGGGATCTCGGCGTTTGCTGGAGATTAGATCAAAATCAGGGCAATGTGTGTGCCAGAAAGACAACATGGCCCACCTGCTCCATCTGTCCTGAGCCGATGTCGCAAGTTCACGTCAAGCATGATGTCATTTGGGGCCTGGACCGCACGGCGTGCTTCGAGAAGAGACCTTGTTCATGAAGTCAATACACATCATGTTGTAATATCCTTTTCCAGGTCATTCGGCTTTTGGGGCAACAGCATCCATCGAGACAATCTCAGACAGTGCGCACCGGCAGCGAATCCCTCCTCGCCAACGGCTTCACCAGCCCCCTCTCGTCCTCCTTGACACCCTCGCGCGGCTGCACGAGCGCATTCTTGCACACACGCCCCGCCACGAGGTCCTCGAGGTTCCGCACCGTGCATTCGGAAATCTCCGTCAGGGCCTCCTCGGTGAAGAAGGCCTGGTGGCCGCAGATGACGACGTTCGGGAACGTCATGAGGCGCATCAGCTCGTCGTCGTCGATAATGTCGCCGCTGTGGTCATCGTAGAAGAGCGCACCCTCACCCTCGTACACGTCGAGCGCTAGGCCACCGAGCTTGTGCTCCTTGAGCGCCGTGATGACGGATTTCGTCTTGACGAGGCCGCCACGCGAGGTATTGATGAGCAGGGCGCCCTTCTTCATGAGGCCCAGCGTGTCGTCGTTGATAATGTGGCGCGTCTGCTCGGTAAGGGGGCAATGCAGGCTGACGACATCGCACAGCGGCAACAGCTCGTGCAGATCGACGTATTTGCCATACTGCTCGAAGGCCTCGGAAGGGTACGGGTCGTGGGCGATGACCTTGCAGCCGAAGCCCTTCATGATGCGCGCAAAGGCGACGCCAATGCGACCGGTGCCAATGAGGCCGACCGTCTTGCCGTGCAAGGTGCGACCGCACAGGCCGTTGAGGGCAAAGTTGTTCTCGCGGACGCGGTTGTAGGCGCGGTGCGTGTTGCGATTGAGAGTCTGCAGCAACGCGACGGCGAACTCGGCGACGGCCTCGGGGGAGTACGAGGGGACGTTGGCGACGGCGATGCCCAGCTTTTCGGCGTGCGGCAGGTCGACATTGTTGAAGCCAGCACAGCGTAGGAGAATGACGCGGATGCCAGCATCGTGGAGGTCGTCCAGCACAGAGGCCGGCAGGTGGTCATTGACGAAGACGCACACAGCCGTGTAGGGGTCGGCGCCAGCGTGAGGCGTCAGCAGGGAGGTTGTCTTTGGGGTCAAGGAGACATCGTGGAAGACAATGTCGAGCCCTGGGGGTTTGGCGGCCGTCAGGTACTTCTCGTCGTACGGCTTGGCGGAGAAGACGGCGATCTTCATGGTGAGTACGTGGTCGGCGGGCAGGTTTTGTTTCAATGTCAAGAGGAGCCTGGCGTTACGCAGAGCACCTGGAGAGTCGCGAGAAGGACAGCTGGGCAAGGCAAGATGACGTTACGATTAAGGCTGATGATGGAGGGGAAAAGCTGGTCGAGGTATTTAACAAGCTGCAAGCGGCCATGCTGAACACACAAAGGTACGTAGATGTATGCGCAACGGCGGTTCCTGGCGCACCGCCCTCAGCAGAGTTCTCTAGCTTTGTCTGACCAAGGCCAGAGGGGACACAAGGGCCACGCCAGATAAGCGTGGAGCTGCAGCACCTCACTGCAGAGGAGAGGTGACAGAACAGTTGAGGCAGCGGCGGCCGTGACGGAGACAATAAGTGGCTGACCGAACGCGACACGGGGCAAGAGCAATTGTGCTTGACGGAAGAAGGTGTAATGGACGGCGGGGGCGGGGTAGCAAGGCAAGGAAGGGTAGCTAGGAAGTACCATCTAGGAACGTGCCTGCCACCACCAGCCAGTCAGCCAAGCCAGCTCGGAAGCACCGCCCGCCATAGCGCCTGCCTAGCACCCAATCCGTCGCCATGTCAGCATGGCCTGACTCTGCCGCCAAGCACCAATGCCATGGCCGCCGTCACTCATCTTTTCACGTTACCTGCAGCCCTCTCGGATCACCAAGACGCCTAGAACGAAACAGAGTCATGATCGGAGCCAGGGCAAACGAGACACGGCCGGCCTGTCAATCTGCACCTCGGGTCGATCATCCTAGTCTTGATCAAGGGTCCCCTGGAGGGCTTTATTTTCGCCTCGAGCCGACTCCTCTACTCCCGCCGGTACACCCCGCGGATGGCGTAGTCCTTCTTCGGCCCTTGCACCGCATACCCGATCGACCACTCTCTCAGGTGCACCGCCGCGAACGCAAACTCGTACGCGACGTTGTAGAAGTCGTCGATGCACAGATGGCCCGCCTTGGCCCTCCAGGGCGCCCTCTCGTCTGATTCCTCCGTCGCCAGCTTCGTCTCAAACTCGACCTCGTGGAATAGATAGTCTGCCCTCTTGTCGTCGTCTGTCCGCACGAACCACACGCTGATCGTGTCGTGCTTCTCGTCGTACCGCCAGATGTACCGACGCCGCGCCTGGAACACGAGCCCGTTGCTCGCCTTGAACTCGCCCTCCTCGATGTAGAGGTACTCCTGACCGGGGTCGCCTGGGTCCGTCGCCGATGGCGCGACGCTGTCGCTCGACGATGCGCACTGCAAGCCGTCCGCCGTGGCGTCGCGGAGCAGGAACCGTGCCGTGCCGCTGAAGTGGCCGCTGGGGTGTGATGGGAGTTTGCTGTCAAGGGAGCGCTCCAGCTTCCACGTCCCGAGAAGGCTGCGGAACACGGCGTGCGCGACGAATCGGCTGCTCGTCAAGGCTGCTGTAGCGACGTCGTTGGAATACTGCAGCACTTTGGCGTTCTCTGCTTTGGCCTGCGCATCGGCCAGCGGTGAAAGGTATCGCGACGATGTGAGAATGTCCATGGGAAGGCTGTTGTGCGGCAGCGTCGGCGTCGGCGGCTCTACAGGTGGTGATATGGTCATGTCCAAAGCTGCCGCCATCTCCTGCATAATGAAGGCGTAATCACCAAACGGAAACTGCGAGCATCGTGAATCTTCTCGCAGAGCCAAAATGCGCTTTTCGCATGCCTCGCTCTGCACAGCAGCCGCCAGGCCCGCTGGGGGCTTTGCAAGGTTCTCTGGTGTCCATAGGGCGGCGAGGAAGCGTGCTTGCATCTCCATGACACCCCAGTAGGGTGAACGGTAGAACCCGACGAAGCCCAACGTCGGCAGATCGCGGTGTTGCGTGCCGTGGAACCCCAGTGCCAACGGCAGATCGCGGTGCTCAGGGCTGTGGTGGAGGGTCCTGAGGACCGAGTCGGGGAGGAAAGAGACGCAAGGCGAAGGATCAAAGCCAGTGGCAAGAACAACGGCCGCCACGTCCTCGATCTTCTCGCCTGACGGAGTGACTATGGCTGTGTTGCTCTCCATTGCTTCCAGTTTGCCCTTCGAGGCCGTGATGAGGCCGGACCGGACGAACTCTGTGTAGAATTCGCTCATGGCGAGGTAGGGTGGCTCCGAGGTCAGGTCACCCTTGACAGCGATGGACTCGGAGAATTGGGACTGATCCTGGCCCACGATATTCTGGAAGATACCGTGCACCGTCTTGGCCGTCTCGGGAGCGATGTGGCCCTGCGTGTTCGTCAGGGGCTTGGGCCTGTTGTTGAGGTTATAAGAGCCGAGATCGACCGGCAAAAAAGGGGGAGCCGACAGCTTGGGCTGGACAGGTCAGTCGCCTGGGGCTGCAAAGCGGTCTCGGGGCGAACAAACCTTGGGTGTCGTGTACAGGGGAAACACCCACGCAGGATGCTGAATCAAGTGATGGATCGTGTACCCCTCAGCACCAGCAAGCTCGCTTGTCGTCCCTGGCGCATTGACCGCAGACGAAAGATGACTCGCAATCGTGCCCGCAACCTCGACACCCGACATCTGGCCTCCCACGACCAGAATCTTGCCCCCCTTGGCCCCCTTTCCAAGCAATCCCTTGAGGCCCCGATACCGACTGCTGTGCACAACCGGCACCGTCGCCCCATCCGTGATGCCCCTCGGGAGAACAGGCTCGCCAAAGAACCCAGTAGCGACAACAAGCCGATCGAAAAGCCCAACCTCCTCCCTGCCCGACCCATCCCTCGCCGTGACCCTCCACCCGCCGCCTCCGCCATTATGCCCCTCGAGCGCCTCCGTCCGCGTGACCCTCCACCCAAGACGGACCTCGGCCCCCGGATACCGCGCGAGATACCGCTCGAGATACCGCCCGACCATCCACGCGCGCGGAAACTGCCCGTCGGCGTCCTCCCAGCCGAAATCGCTAAAGTGCATCGTGTGCCGGCTCTGGTTGGTCGTCATGAGGGGGTGCACCGTGCCGCCGTCATCGCGCGGCGACGTGGGCCACAGGCCGCCGACGCGCTTCTGGGCGTCGAACACGGTCACGTTGAAGGCGCCCTGCGGCGCGTTGTAGAGGAGCGTCTTGGCGGCCACGAGGCCGGAGGGGCCGGCGCCTTTGGGCGGTTAGTTTGGCGTGCCGAGTGGGAGTGGGGGGGGGGGGGGGCGGGGCGGAGGAAATGCTGAAAAGCAAGGTGCGGGAGGTCCGGCGACGTACCTATTATGCAGACGTTTTTCGCCATGGTGGGTTTATGAAATGCAGTGTTGGCTGACACCCGTACGATTTGCTGTAGTGAGACGATGAGGGAGAGATCCTCGTGCGTCGGGTTGAAGGTCGTCAGTGGATGCGTCAGGTTCGGTGCAGAGCGCGGGCGTCACCCCGTCCGACATGTCAGTCCGACAGCTCCTCTTCTCAGTCTCGGTACGCCCCAGCTGCAAGTGTTATCGTCCCCCACGTTTTGTGAACACGCTGGAGCCTCGACGGAACTCAGGTTGGCGCAGGCTTTGGTTGTCTGATGCGTCGTGCGCCGTATTCATACATGCGCCAGTCTCATGGGTAGAGGTCAATGGCGCTAACACGTCCCGCTCGGCCTGTGACTGCCGATGATTAGCCGTCAAGGCCTATGTGAGCAGGTGCCATACTAGGGGGGATCCGAAGTCCAACTTGACTTTCTTTGATACTTCAACGGCAGATAAAATGTTCATGAATCACTTTTTGACTGACCGCGTCCAATTTGAGGAGGTACCACATGACAAAATATCCCAGATCAAAGCATCAGCACAATGACAACATCGAGGCTTCAGCAATACTTCACACGGGCGCGAGCTCCAATACACTGTCCCGTGGCTACTTTATCAGGCACAGATTTTGATACTGTACAGATTCTACTTGGAAAGCTCATGTTGCAAACACCATGTCTTCAAGCCAGACTTTTTCTTGGCAAATAGACTTCTTCTTACGCAACGCCTGCCACCGCTGATGCGAAATGAGTCGAAACGAACACCCCAACAACGCGAACTAAAATACAACCAGCTAAAACGAGCCTCGCATGGCCCGAACATTTCCATGACCCCTCTTCGCAGGCGGCGCCAGCTCGTACTCACTGACCTGGCCGCTGCGTGGCCGCTTACCACGCTCAAGACGTGATGGGTCGAAATGGTGGTCACGGTGACCTCGAAAAATGTTCAGCCTCGCACTTCTCCCCCGGCTGTCGTCCCGGCTATCAAGCCGCCTGACCGACCTCCGATGCATCAGGCGGCGATACTCCTCCTTGACAGTGGTCCAGCTCGTCATGAAGTAAATGACAGCGTTCCAAACCCCCTGCAAGGGCAGCACAATCGCCGTGGCAACATTAAGGCCAAAGCTGACTTGGCCAGGGTTTACCAAGTCATTGACGCGGTTGATGGAGCTTGGCGTCCATGTGACAAGGATCGATATGGCAAAGATGAAACTTGTTCGCAGGTAGGCAAGCTTGACGGGATCCAGCCCTTGCAACTTGGCGTTGAACTTTTGCATGCCGCCCTTCACGTACCCCAACAAAGACCTTCGCGGTGGGGGTGGGGGTGGGTTCGAACTGATCATCGTCTCGAAACGCGTGTGGCTGATGACGGGACTCGGCACACGTTCATGACTTGAATGCCATGACTGCGCGTGTCCGGCGCTGTGGATCTGCGGCGAGTCTGTCAATGCCGCCGGTGGCACAGTTGGCATTTCGATTGTCCGATCTGGCCTCGGGGACCCGGTCGTGATTTGAACTTCAGTGACAGCGGTGACCTGCCAGTCCTCTGAACGTCCAGTGAGATTCTGCGTCAAAGTCAACCTCTGGGCTTGGGAAACAGCACGATCGCTTCTCCTGACCTTCTCTGCTGAATCTCTGTTATCCTCTGACATTGATACTTCATTCGCATCTTTTATGTGACTGAACGTAAGGTTTCGCAGCTGGTTGCGTTGGTGGAAGACGTGGTAGCCGACGGCAAAGTAAATCAGGATGGAGCAGAGGATGCAGATCCAAATCGGCAGATAGTAAGTGTAGATGCGCAGTTCACTCCAGTCGCTATTGATCCAGCACCAAAGCTATGCCTCTCGTTAGCGCTTTATGAAAGCCAACGTCGAAGACCCGTGCTGAAACGTCAGAGACCACACATACTGTCGCATTGCCATACATCATCTGCCCATTCGGGCGCGCAAGCAGAAGCACAATAGCGGGTATGAACGGCCCACCAAAGCAAATGACGCAGTACACCCAGAGATACTGTCGGAAAGAGGCTGGGCTGGCGCCGAAGAAAAAGACGAGATAGACGTTCACTGCCATGGCCAAGGACCACCAGGGGTCGGATTGCATAAACCTATTCGTATCGTTAGCCGCGTTGCGCCCGTACGTCCCGGCGGGGAAAGACAAACATCTCCAGCATGAAGGCCTGAGCCTGGCACAACGCGGAAGCCTCTCCTATGAGGATACCATCGTAGCCAATGAGGCACGCAATGCTGGCGCCGATGTTGGCGACCGAAGCAAAGACTATGAACAGATTGGGAATGGTCCTCAGTCGCTTGAATAGGTAGTACGAGACAAAGATGAGAGTGATGCCAATCGAAGAGAGTGAAGCTCCGGTGCGTTCGAGGGCGATAATGGTGGTCACTTGAGTGCCGCTCAAAGGCATCTTTTCCGGGCCTGAGTACTGTCTTGGCACAAGCTGATCGGACGGAAGAGACGACGGGTGACCGACGAGGAGCGTCGGAGGAGCACGAGCTGCCCGCCCTAACAGGGTCAGTGTCAGCAGAGGTCTGTATCGATTAGCACACATGTTTGGCGGCGTTTTTGTGATGTGAGGTGGCGTCCAACGACGAGAACTGGAGGGGAAGAGACGGAGAGGGCGAGGCATACTTTTGGGGGACGCGCAGCCGCTGCGGGAGCTGAAATGCGAGTCGGGATAGAAAGGCCTTCAGAGATAGGATTGGATCTTCTGGGCCCGAAACAACGGGCGGGGACGTCGTTTGGACTAGGGGAGAGACGTTGTACAGACAATCCCAGGTCGGACAAACGATGGAGAGTTGCCGTCGACTCGGGGATGGCGACACGAGCGCTGCGAAGGACAGAGATGGTCGGGAAGCGGCACAATAGGAGCCAGACGGGGTCGCAGAGCCAGGCGGAAGGGAGCCGAAGCAGCGAGGGTTGTTGACTGGTGTGACTGATGGTGATATGGCCCGACGAGAGCCAAAAAAACAAGAATACAAAGAAAAGAAAAAGGCCCGTTCAGCGAGGGACAGAAACGCACCAGCTTACGACTCTGGGAGCAACAAAGTACAGTGTAAGCGGGCTACCTAAGCGGCAGTTGGACTGAGATTCTGTGTATCGGTGAATGATGTTGGCGGCCGTCGCGAAGGTGGCTCGAAGCGAAGAAGGCAGGCGATGGGAATATATCAGTCCCAGACAGTCGGGGCTGACGACCGGCCAGAGCAGGGTCTTCGGGCCTGGGCCTAATCGTCAGGGGACAACTAACGAGAAGATGCCCAGCAGGGCGTCGGCGCAGGGGAAGCCAAGGGGTGAGGCCGTTACACAGACAAGGGAAGGGGAACAAGAGGTGTGAGCGGACAGCATGGCGTTGGCGTGTAGGAGGAAGAAGAATGAGACCTCGGGGATTCGAGGGCGGAGGCGTGTCATAGGTATCAACGGACGAGATGACAAGAGGGATGGTGCATGGACAGGACAGGGTATGGTAGGGTCGGCGGATGGTTCGCGAAGCGAAGTGGCCTGGTGTGTGTGAAGCCCGAGGTGGTGTGGTGTGGTGTTTGGCACTTGGCTTTGGGGAGCCTGGAGCTTGAGGGAGGCGGCGCTGAAGCACACGAGGATTGGCTGAGTTGACGATGGCGGTGGCTAGCTTGGGACCTTGAACATGAACATGGCCAGTTGTCGCTGCGGAGAAGGAGAAGCGGGATGCGTGGTTGCCAGCCGAACCCCAAGAAAAGGTACGCTAACATGGCGCCGATGCTGTACATGGTACAGGGCAGGCATGACCCCAGCCCAGCAACATGGTGATTGGCAGGTGCAAGATAGACGGACGTCGGGGCGAGGACAATGATGGGGAAGGAGTGTGGCAGCCAGATGGTAACCACGTTGGTGGCTTGGCAGTTTGAATCATTCTTTCCTTTGACTTGAAGCTCACTTCTTTGCGTGGTGCGTGAGTCTCATGCATGATTCACCTGGATATACTAGAGACAGACACTCTGCCTTCCCCTTTGATCTCGGCCGCACGATCTTAGAGCCTCTTTTGACGAGCTTTTGTTTTCGAACGACAAATTGAAAAGAATTCTGGAATGGCCTTGAACGGAATTGCAAGTCATGGCAAAGGGCTCTCGTGGTCCGAGTCAGCAAGATCGACAGCGTGGCAGCTGCCATTCGGCCAAATTGTCATGCTGCTGACCGACATGATTGACCGCCGCTTCCTCGCCGCAGGCAGCCAGCATTCGGCAAAGGGCAAAGGGCAAATGGCAGAGGGCAGAGGGCTAGGCAGACCACGAGGCAAGTCAGCTCCATGGGGCTGCTCGATTGCATGCTCATGGGTAACTGCTTTCAATATTGGACGATCGTGACCTGATCGCGAATCGCCATGGAGACTCTTCTTCCCCACTTTCTGACTTCGGGCGGCCAACTGTCTGTCTGCCGGGACAAACATGTCCTTGTGACTTGGGGTACCGAACCCTGGATGAATGCTACCCCAGATACTCGAATCGACCGAGACGGAACAAGTTTACACTGCTGGTATCCTTGGGGCTTTGGACACCTTGCCGGATCCTCCCAAAGTCGACGAAGCAACGAACAGAAAAGACACATAGCGTGCCGTACCCCGGCCCACGCACTGAGCGGCTGACTTGCTGATTGTAGCCGGAATACTGTAGGCCAAGGAGATGCAACCAGCAGCCATATTGGGCCACTGCCGGCCTCCTCCCCTGGAGAGATGCTGACTCTTTGCTCACTCACGCCCGCCACCCCATCAATCTCCGTCATGCCCCCCATGAACGTTGAAATCACGTCGCAGGTCTCGCTGCAGCCCGCCATCTCACCAACCCTGCTTGTCATACTTATATCCTTCATCAACCCAATGACGAACACGGAATATGATTTTGTGCTGCACCATGCCGACAATGTAATTTCATCGCTTTTCGCCACCCCAATCAATCTGCCCTGCGTGGTCGTGCAAACAGAGTTGCCGCGTCTACATCATCATCATCCACCCCGCTGGTGGGTGGGGGTGGGGGTCGGATGGGCGACCTCAGAGGCATGACCGATGTCAACCAAACAGCAGAAGGGATCGACCACACTCAAGTGTAGGCTCCTTTGACGGGTTGCGGGACGCAAATAGCACAAAGACTGTTGCCAGTCAGGCTCAGCGTCAGCCTCGAGAGAATGCGGTCCACTGATCGAGGCCCCCGCCTGCCAGAGTGGTCGGCGCTCCTGATTCATCCCCGCCTGCTCATTGCACTGGATCGTCTTTGCCTCCGACGCTAAGAGTCTGCTCCGATATCTTGTCAAGCTATCATATAGGCATGTAGCAAAGTAGGTAGAGCAGGCTACACACGGCTTTGAAATACGAGCATCATTTTAATGTTGATCGGACTGAAGCCTCAGCCTCAAAGCCTGTTACCTATTTTGAGAACTTGGGAATTCAAAATGCAAAGGTGTCGAGTTAGCCCGCGAGGACAATATCCGTGAAAAGCCCGGCACAGCGCCCAGGAAACCAGTCTCATTGGAAAGGCTCGCTCGGGTCTTTCCAAACGGCTTGGTAAACCTCCTTCGCACCCTGGTCACGGCCTCGAATACGGTGCATGGCAAAAGCAAAAGCTGGAAGAAGCTGGGCTTCTTGTAGTGCGATCCTTCCGACCGGAGTCGAGCCGGTGACCTTTCGATTGGAAATGATGCCAGTTACAGTCGAACGTGATGAACCAACTACACTACGGAAGGATTTGATGGACACGCCCAATTTCCGGAGCGTTCATAGAGCAGAATTTCGCGCGTGCGTAGCCCTGCCAAGTGGAGAGGAGGTGGACACGATGGGCTGCCCCTCCATGCTGCCCCTCACTTTTGGAGGTTCTGGACTTGACCCCTGGACCGCATTTCACGATCGAGACTGTTGGATCCCCACTTTCAGCCACGAAGAGGCTCCGAACGGGAGATAGTATGCTTGAAACCTCTATGGTGTCGATTTTCAGCCGGAGGCTACGACTTGCGAGCCAAAGCGATGCAGCTAAAACTGAGGTTGTGCCCGCCTCCATCCGCATTCAACTGGATGATCCTCTTGATGCCGTTGTCCAGTGCTCGTGGACTGAGGACATCCTCGTCATCAGCGAGACTGCCTCTGTCCAGAGGGCCCTTTCTCGATCCTTCTAGCTCCCAGAGCTTCCCACTCGTCTTGACAAAGCTAACAAAATGGCCTCCCTCGACCTCGCCCGTCAAATCAGCCTGGCTGTCGCCGGCCTGCTCGACCGACTTGTGAGCACGCTCAAACGGGTCGCTGTTATACAGCAAATCGGCACGGCTAGCCATGTTGAGCGGTATGGCACGGCTTCTGATGTCCGCGAGATCCGATCCAGGTTTGATGAAGTCCATGGCTGGACCGTTGATGAGGCTGTGCAGCAGGCCAATCGAGCCGCACGCATGACCGATGGTCTGCTTGAACCAGATAACCGGCTCGTCGGGGCCGGAGCCGGTGTAGTCTTCCTTGTCGGCGTCTTCGGCCTGGCGACTCTGATCCCAGGCTGGCGTCAGTGGGATGATGACCAGCAGAGCCAGCGCAGGCCGGGGAATATGAGCGAGGAGCTCAGGATCATCGAGAGAGTAGACGTCGTAGAATTCGAGATCGGACGATATACCCAGCGTTGCTGCCAGCTGGTTCATCACATCAGGGTTGTTCTCTGTCATCTCACAATTAGTTCCCGGTGGGAAAAGAGGGCTTCGTTTCTCTACCAAGCATGACCCATCCTTTTTTCTCCATTGCAGACATTGAGCAGAGGAAATGTCTTGAAAAGGTACAAGGTCTTCTGTGAGTAAAGGGGAAGATACTGTCGATCTGGAAGATGAGGTACAAAAAGGCGTGATCGAGAAAGGGGCGAGGAGGAAACAATTGACGTTCACAGCCGCAGGTAAGCGACGGGCGACAACAGACTGATAGCCGATGGTCTACCAACTGGCGACGTACGCGTGGGCAGCTGTATTGTCGTGTGCTGATGCCGTACAATGACTGAAGCGACGGGTGTGATGAAGAAAGCGTATGGGCTGATTGCGGTTCGGCCGCGGTGGCTGCTATTGGTCAAGATGTTGTTCACAACTGCTTGTCGTGTAATCGAAGTATATGAACCGTTCAAGGCGGTACTTCGTGGAGCTGGTTACGATGTCCGCACAAGATTTGAGAGGAGAAGCCCAAGATAATAAAGGGCGACATTGACTCAGGTTCGTTGCCTAGGAATCGCTTACGCGGAAGCTCCGCCTCTCATCTGACCGATGCTCTTGGAAAGTGCGGGGGCCAATCGCAAGTACTAGGCAGTGACCACCACGCGTATGCGGGGATGGCGTTAGATCTCCAACTACTTCCAACGTCAGTTGACCTCATAAGCTGATTAATGTTCATGATTTTACTCTCGAGACAGGGCATCCGGACGTCTTCTGTGAATCGTACTTTGAGATGCTTTTCAGGATGTTACCTCGTCTCTCATGGGTGCTTAAAGTCGGCTCAACAAGATGCATGACAGATAACATCGCCTGGCTCTGTAAATCATGCGATCATGGGACAGAAATGTACCATATTCGTCGTAAACTCCCACCGTCCGTCTCTGTGTCTCTATACGCATGCGAGGACGATATTTTTGGGTTTGACGTCGGGGAAGTTGGCCTCGACAGGATGTTCTTGACGACACTCTAGTAAGAAGTGTTCCCAACCTGCGCCACCTAGGTCACTCTTGGAAGAACTTGAGATATTGCCGACGAGGGACTGGTCCATCCGAAGAGCCTTCGCCTAAATCCTCCCAACTTCACAAGCAACCCATGATGCGATGGTTCCTTTCCACATACTTTCAATGTGAGTCGACATCTCAAGCAGACGGACCGCCTGGCACATGACAAAAGGGACGCGGCGCTTGAGTGCCAGGTAATACAGGGACGGTATGAGGCCCAACTCGGCGGTGAAATTGAAGGTGATTGAGCAGTGCTCTGATTTCTTGTCGACGATTATAATCTCAGCTACGACTTGTAAGATCCCTCGCAAGTTGAGACCAGGGTTGTAAAGTCATCCTGATGGATGTAGACTGTGGGCTCGCTTGGCGGCTTGAGAGACGTGGCGGCCAGTGATGGAGGCCATTGCGTGAGACACTACCAGCAGCAGGTAAGAAAATTCTTACTCAGAGCTGAGGCGCGAAATAAGACTCTGTGGTGAAGCTGGTCATCATTCATGTATTGTTTGAGACCAGTTATGTACTACAGGCTAAGTATGTACCGTTCAGAAGAATACCCGTGACAAATAACAGACAACCCCACTACGCATATGTTCCGGGCACCAGCGAGTTGACGTAGTTCTCCAGGTTTGTCCAGCCGCCAGCTCCAATGGCAAAGGCGTCCTTGGCGTCATTGGGGTTCAGCCCATTCGCCCTCTCCCACGCATCGGGAATACCGTCACCATCGGTATCCACAGGCGCCGTTCCACCGGCAACCTCTCCGACACCGCCAATCTCGGCCTCGTCGGAGATGAGCTTTCCCGACTTGCCGTAGCTGCGCAGCTCGCTAACAAGGAGCTTGTCGACGGCGTCACGGCGAAGTGACGCGCCGGCTCGGGCGGCGACGTGTTCGATAGACTCCTGTGGGGTGAGGAGCTTGGCGGGGCCAGGGTAGGGGAAGGGCGTCGGGGCGAAGACGAGGGGAGAGTAGCAGTTTGTGGTCATGCAGAGCGGAGTGCCGTCGAGGACGCCATCGCGGTCGGCGTCGTAGTAGTTGTTGAGAACGTCTGTCCGGGTCAGTATCGATCGAAAGAAGTAGAGCAGAGAAACTCACAGGCTTGGAAGTTCTCGTTGCCGCGGGTGAAGGGGCTGCGGCCGGTGCTGGGGCCCGAGACAAAGTAGTTGTTGACAATGTTGACCCAGCTAGGGCCAGCGCTGTCGCCAGCAATGTATCCGGCACCAACACCCCAATTGTAAATGACGTTGTTCTGGAAGTCGTTACGGCCCTTGACCTTAGGGTTGCGCGTGTTGTTGTCAACGTAGAGGTTGCGGAACAGGGACACGCCACCCTCGGTCTCCATCAGGCCGCCGCAAGAATGGGTCTGCAGCCCCTGGGCGATGATGGTGTCCTGCACGGTAATGTTGACAGCGCTGCCGCTGACGGAGAAGTTTTCGTCACGGCCCCAGGAGACGGACACGTGGTCGAAGATCATGTTCCGGCCTTCGGCGATGGTGACGGCGTCCTTGCCGCTGTCGCCGCCGCGGCCCATGCGGATGCGGATGTACCTGGTGATGGCATTGTGTGCGTTTGACCAGGAGAAGCCGTTGCCGTAGACGGTGATACCCTTTGTCATAGTCAATTACCCAGTTGAAAGCTCGAGGCTCAGAACAGACTCACGTCACCTGGTGCGGTCTGGCCAGCGATGTAGACGTTGGCGGACACAACAATGCGCGCGTCGATGTCGATGACGCCACCCACATCGAAAACAACGATGCGGTTGGGCTTTGAGACGGCATCACGAAGGGATCCGGCACCCGAGTCACTAACGTATGGTTAGATTCATAGCACAAGACTAGGTACGCTAAGGGCGCAGCTCACTTCAGGTTGGTCACCTTGTAGACGCTACCAGTGCGACCACCGGTAGCGAATCGGCCGAAACCCTCGGCTCCAGGGAAGGCGAGCTGCTGGGCATCAGCAGCAGAGGCCAGCAGGGCTGAGGCGCCGAGGAGAGACTGGATGGAGAACTTCATGGCGTGTTTCCTTGAGAGAATCCGGGGTGCATGAACAATGAGCGGGAGAGGGCTTGGTATCGTGGGCCCGCGCAAGACTGGACCTCTTCTGTTATTTGTACCCCAGATTTATGTACCCCATCCTTCTGCAAGGCCGGGCCAGCTGGAGCGCGCTGTCGTGCTCATGGTCCTTGCAGGGAAGCACCTTAAGTGACGCGAGCTTGCTTCGACTCTACATATCAGGGGCAATTGTGGGGTCGTGGCAACGGCAGTCGGGGCTGCTTTGGGTCAACAGCGCGGCGCCAAAGTCAAGTGAAATGCTGGGGAAGTGTGCCTGCAATCACGGAGCTCGGAGCATTCGACAGATTCCAGAAACATCAGTGTGGCAACCAAGGGGTCTTTCTTGTATTCGCTGCTCGCTGCATCTCGGTACGATTGGTGGAATGACCGAGCCTCACAGGGCACGCCGCTGATCATCTGCTGGAGTGGTGGCTAGAGGATGCTGTATCATGGACACACTTTGCGCGGCAGAGCAGGGCCTCGGGGTCGAGAGGACGGGCTTCGGAGGGTTCCCAATTCGGGTCACTGCAAGGCTGTACTGATCTGGTTAGTGATCCTCGCATTTGGTTGCGCTTTTTGGGCGCAACGCAGTAGCTGTTGCGGCTACATGGTTACTGCCCCTCTTTGCAATACTTAACGTCGCACTTCGCTTCAATCAAGACATGAAAATTTACTTCTAAATCCGACTTTCATGGCTGAGCTTGCGACGGATGATGCGACGTATAGTTCGCTCTTGGGTCATGTGAACGACATGTCCGATGTAGGTTTGAAGTTTGATTGCCGAAAGAGTTCCGTGCAAGCAGCGCAAGTGGCAAGTCACAAGCAGACTGCTACTGCATCGTTGCGAAACGTTGCAAATCGAACTTTTGCTGAGATGAAGCGCGATAGCAATGCCGTGTGCCATCTGGAAGCTCAGAAATTGTACCGTGGCATGACCTCCGGTAGGGCCAGTTGACCAAACCCATGGTCTATTGTGGTAGTGTCAGCTATTCAGCTATTGGCAGGTAACCTTGGTGAACTAAAGCTTGAAACGTGGGTTCGGCTCGCTGCTGGTTGTGGAGACACAAGTGAGCAAGTCGTGATAATGGCCTGGTACAGCAACATCGAATGAACATCCACAGCATCCTGTTGAAAGTGAGCTGCTTCTGGTACCGTGAGCACCTCTACCTGTCGTATCGAATCTGAGATGAGCCCATGATACTGCTCAATCGCGGGCCTAGCTCATCCAGGCATCGGTCAAACATTTGACATGTATGACGAACCGACTGAGGAGAAGTTCGCTCGGAATACGGGGCAGCAGGTGTGGTATAAGTCAGTTGATTGTGCACCCCCAAAAACATGGCGCTGGGTGTCATGCTTTATCCCGAACGGGCTATGCAGGTATTGGCATTTCAGTGGATGCCCAGGATGGGGTGTCCTTCCCTTCCAGCAATAGGTGCCAGTGCAGAGAAGCACCTACCTGGTAGAGACCGCTGAGGTGCGTGGCATCAAGGAGCAAGAAACTAAGGTTCCCGACGGACAGGGAAGAAAAGGCACAGGTGGTCCGCAACGGACCGAGCCGGATGGGTAGAGAGGGCAGAATAAGCGGACAACCGGCTGCAGCTGGATCCGGTTCTCCAGTGTTCCGGCCATGAGATCGGGGAAAGGAAACCAGATCCCGAGGAGACTGCGATGTCGGGGGTCCAAGCACGTGTAGCATTTGCGGGAGAGGCCCATGTCCATAGGTCTGTGGGTATGGCTTCGCCAATGTGGACAAATCCATGACAGGCTGCTTTGGCCTTGCTCGGTCGGGGGCGAATGCAGATGACTGGAAATTGCGTTGGTTGGTTTGGTATTAAATTCGAATATCGAAGATCGGAGACTGAGGAAATTGGTCAACCGTAATAAAGCTGTGTTCTGGTGAGCCCCTCGACCGTGTGATGGTCGTGATGGAGACACAAGCATTGGCGGACCACTTGGTCAGTGGAGGAAAGCCCATACGCTGGGTTATGTAATCCAGCTCACAGCAAGTGGGTCACATGACCGTTTTGTGTGGTGCATTTGCAGGCGGAAGGCGCAGGCTCAGGGTCGATGCCGCCATCGGGTCTCCGTGTGGTGTGGGTGTGGTTGAGTCAGCCCTTGATCTGGCAATACCATTGGTCCGATCGAGGTGGTCTTTCCTTCCCAGGCACCCCTCCCTCCCAAGCAATACCCAGGCTGGGCAAGCACGACACTAAAACACCGCAGGCAGCCAGTGTAGTGTCGAGTGCTACTGCCGCAGGCGTCAGTGTTTCGCCGGTCTGGGCTCGACTCAACGGCAGGTCCATTCCATCTTTCTCTCTGGCTTACCTGAGTCTTATTAGTCCATTTGCTCTTTCGGCTGGGGACTTTTCATCGCTTCGCCTTGACTCTTCTTGCTTTCTTCTTGTTACTCATCTTCTTCAGCAACTCGTCTCAGACACACACATCATCAGCCCCCCCGTCAATCCCGCTGTCCATCCTTATCCCAGCGATTGCGCTCGATTCTCGATTGGCCTCCCACTCCTGGTACGTCCAACTCTTACCCCTCCATCATCGCATTTTCCTGCCCGTGTCGCACATGACGTCGCCAAGATAGCCCCGTCAACCCGGCCGATTCAATCAAGTTCCCTCAAGACAACCGCCCGCTGACTCTTCCGCCGCGACCGGCGATTTCCTCTCCCAGGACTCTACTCAACAACTTCACACACGCTCCCCTCGCGGGGGCTATTATTCTCGTCTGTTGACCAGTTCTCAACCCGCCTCTCTTCTGCTTGTCGTCGAGACCGACAGCCGCTTCGTACGCCGACCATCTCCCCGTCGGCCATCTCCACGCATACCCCTCGTCAAAAGCTGCCAACCCCTCTCTCCCACTTCCGCCATCTTCGCCATGGCCACCTCCCCCGACAGCCTCCTGGCCATGACGCCACCAGGATACACCTTTCCAGACTCTCGTTTGCGACGCGAACTCGACAATCCCGAACGCGACCCTCTCATTCTCGTTGCCTGCGGCTCATTCAGCCCCGTGCACTATGTGCACTTGCGTGAGTCCTCCCAACTCGTTCCGCCACGACTTGTTCTGTGTAACCTTCCGCCTCGTTCTTGTTCTTGCCGCGGTTGTCCGTCGGCACGAGCTGGACCGCGGCGTACCACGTTGACCTGCATGTCATGTCATGCAGCATGCCGCCATCCCCTTTCCTGCAGATCCAGTTGCTGATTGGCTGTAGAAATGTTCGCCATGGCGGCCGACTACGCCCGCACCGAGACCAACTACGAGGTCATCGGTGCCTATCTTAGCCCTGTATCCGATGCGTACAAGAAGAAGGGCCTTGCGAGGGCACACGATCGGTATGCGTTTCCTCTATGCAGACTCCACGACACGACGCTAACCCAGTCCTAGTGTCGAGATGTGCCAGCTAGCCGTCAAGGCCGCCCGACAACCCCTCATGGTCGATTCCTGGGAGGCGCAGCAGGCCTCGTACGTGCCCACGGCTATCGTCCTCGATCACTTTAATTACGAGATCAATGAGTTACGCGGCGGCTGCGGAGGGAAGAAGGTTCGCATTGCCCTTCTCGCTGGGGCTGATCTTGTCGAGACCATGGGTCAACCCAACATCTGGTCGGCCCGCGATTTGCAGCACATTCTCGGCGACTTTGGCGCCTTTGTCGTCGAGCGCGCTAGCAGCAACTTCGACCAGGCCCTTTCAAATCTCCAGGAGTACAAGGACAACATCCATTACATCCCCGCCATCATTTCAAACCCCATGTCTAGCACCATGTTGCGCCTCCTGCTCAAGGGAAATATGAGCATCGAATATGTAGGTCCTCGAGCCCGATCCTGTCGTCTGCCCCGTTCGTCCGGCCCTAGAGGCACTAGATTGATAACCTTCCCTGGACGATCCTCAGCTAACATGCACACAGCACGTGCCCCGCGAGGTCATGGACTACATCGAAGCCAACGGCCTGTACAAGGACGAATTCGTGTCGGCTGGCAAGGGAAAGGCAGTCACCGGCACATCATGAGAGGACTGGAGTGCGCAGGTCAATCCCAATTCACGAGTAGCCCATAGAGGGTGGCTGTGTTCATCCTTCAATCCGGATGCAACCCAACAAGACGAGCACGAAGCGAAAACAGCAGAGAAATCCCGGCGCATTTGGGTAGACGGACTTTTTGTTTTAATTTTCATTTTTCTTTTGTCAAGGCGGCCAGTTTTTGCATTTTACAGCTACAAGAGACAGATCGGCAGGACGCCGCCGTCGCCACAGAGAAGGAGAGAAATGAGATACCTCAGGATAAGTGACGGTAAAACGTCATGTTGGAATATTATTATTTCGTCGGGGTATTGTTGATCATCACGAAATGCTATGGTATCAGGTACAGACAGGTATTTGGCCTCGCTATCTCTTGATGATGGCTGCGTCTGCAGGCTTCCTTTCGCCTTGCCCTTTATCCTGGGGCTTCTCGTCGGCTTTTGTTTTTTCTGCCGGCTCCTTCACCTCGACCTCGGGCTTAACAGCATTCGCCCCTTTTTTGGGCCCAAGGTCCTCAGGTCCCCTGTCGTCATCAAAAATGATATCCCACCAAGGCCTCTCGCCCTGCTTTCGACACAGGGTATGCCACTCGGCCTCGCCGAGCCCCTGGCTCAACGTCTTACGATCGAAGATGCGAGGGCGCCTCCTCTCGGCGTCGGTGGCAGGAGGCCAGTACACCACGTCCCGTGCCCATGAGCTTGTCGCCTTGATAACCGCCAGAGGGGCGAGCTTTATGGGGCGGACTTCGCGCGCGGCGACGATGTCACGCAGGAAAGGATGAAACCAGTTCTTGTCCCACCACATCTTCAACCGCGGGCCCTTCATTCCATCGCGATGCGCGTTGTGGTGGACACCGACGGGCATGCGGCCGGTATAATAGTCGGTATAGAGGGGCACGGCGTCCCAGTGTGCAGCCTCATCCTTGTGCTGCTCCTCCAACTCGACGCTGGCGTGCACGAGGGGCGGCGCAAGGTTGTCAACGTCAGACGGCAGGCCCGTAATGCGCGCTGGCGAAAGGCCACGCTCCTCGCTCGAGACGTTGATGCGCGCCGCATCGTTGACGGCCATGTACTCGCCGTCATCCTCCTCGAAGACAGTCGGCACGAAGAGTTCCTGCAGATAGTCGAGACCGAGGCCATACTCCCACGTCTCAGCGCCACCTCCAGCGGCCGCCACATCAGGCGGGTACGCCGTCTCGTTGAAGGGCTCCCCCGCGAGGGCGAGAGCCTGACGCTCGCGCTGCATCGTGCGCCACACCTCCTGTTGGCCGAGAATCTCGCCGAGAATGCCCTGGTCGCTGAAGAGGTTCTTGCCGGCGTCCTGCCCCTCGCGCACCTTGGCGTAGGCCCTACGAAACGTGCGCAGCACGTCATCGGCACGGCCGAGCACGGCGCCGCTGTTGATGTATCGTGGCCGTGTGCGGTGCAGGGCGTGCCCGTCGCGGTCGGGGTCGCCCTTGTCCGTCTTCGGTCCGTAGAGGTCGGCCCGGGCCGTGCTCTCGGGCAGCACATCGCAGTGCGTCTCGTGACCGTCACGGGGCCGGGGCCAGCATTTTTTCTGGGTGCTCACGATGACGCGCTGGGTCGGGGCGGCGACGGCGTCAGGGGCGTCGGGCGACCAGCCGGCGAGGACGCGGGCGTCGGCGGCGGCGTTCTGGGCGAGGAAGCGCTCGATGAGGACGCGCGGTGGCAGCTGAAACCAGACGTCGTAGGCGTCGACGACGAGGACGAGATCGTCGGGCCGCAGCCGCTCCGCGGGCGGGGCCTCCTCGTCCGAGGCGAGGGCCTCGAGGGCGTCGAGCGTGCCGTCGATCTTGCCGAGGTGCGAGCCGCCGAACCAGCCGCCCTGCTTGTGGAAGTCGCGGCCCCAGTTGATGATGAGCGGTGCCGGATAGCCGTTGGCGACGGTTGACAGGAGCATCTTACAGAGGTTGGCGCCCGGCTCGTCGGCCGGCACGATGATGCGCAGTCGGCGGTTGTGCGGGTCGGTGTCATCGGCGGCTGGGGGTGTCGGCACCACGGGTCGGCTCTGCTTGCTGTTAGTGCATGTCTCTTACTGTCATGTTTTACCGCCAGGGCGAGATGGCGGGGATACGCCAGTGCGACTTACGCCGGCGACGGCGAGGAGCGTGAGGATGACGAGACTGCCCACCGTGGCGATGACCGTCTTGAGCGACCACCGACCGAGACCGCATGGCAGGCAGCGTCCGAGACTTCGTGATAATGGAACTTGTCGGCCGCTGTAGTCTGATTCGTTGAAGGCCTCCCAGTCGATTTTGTGATACCTTGGACCCTTCTTTGCAGTAAAAGCACCGGCTAACAAGCCGCCGGCGTCACGGAGACTGCTTCTCATGGTGTATATGAAACGTCGTGCAACAGCAGCAAGAATGAAGCAAATACGTGTTCGTCAGCCGTAACGTTCCCCAAGGGCCGCGCCGCCCTGATGGCGAAGAAAAGACTGCCGACGTCTCGGCAAGAGACGATGAAAGGACAGAATAGCAGAGCTGATGAAGCGGAGGGGGATGCGCCTATGCCTTCGAAGCGTTCTCGATGAACACGCCGCGGCCGTATACACCTTGCGGTTGATGTTGGTCGCCTCCTTGAACTAATCGCACAGGCCTGAGACAGGAGGGTCTCTGGCGCCGGAACTGAACTCACAGGCCGCTATCGGTCTCAAGCAGAAGTCATCAAGAAAAGGAGAGAGATGTTACAAAAGGAACGGGGGTGGGGAGGAAAGTCAGGAGACACGCAAGCCACGCGAGAATAGCGGGAGGACAGAAGCAGGATGTGTAAGATGCATGACTGTCGAGGAGGAGGCAGCTTTTCCAGAGCTGCCGACCAGCGAATGTAAAGTCTCCATACCAAGGCGGCGGCAGCAGAAGCAGCAGCAACGACGGCGAGTGGGCTCTCTTTGTCGAATCGCCGCTTCACTTGACCAAGGACGAGTGATCGCCAGCAGCCCTCGGCAGCTTCGGCGGGGGGTGGCAGACGAGTTCCTACCGCCGGCATGTCAAAGCACCACCATAGACATGGAGAGAACAGTTGCTGGGCGCAGCGCCAGGCGCCGTGTCAGCCGCTTCCATCGTCAGCCCAGCAAAGCAGTCGGCCAGGGGTTGAACTTGGCAAGACGAGGGGGGGTGAAACCGAGTCGTGGGTGGGAGAAATGCGAGTGTGGCATCAGCGATATGGTAGGCGTCGACGATGCAGGGGAGGCTTGGATTTCTCGGTGGGCAGAAAAAGAGACCCCCTGCTACTTCTTGGGCCGCTACCCAAGCACCTGTTGGTCGTGTTGGAGGCAGGTTCGGCGAGAATCCCATGTCTCATCTCGCCATGGGATAGGCAAATTTGTGCTGAGATTCGCTGCTGATGTCGCGGCTATGGCTGCATGGCGTTTTTCTATTCGGGCAGCACTTCAACTCGGGGATTAGGTTTGCGGCTGACGACTCATGAAGAGTATTTGTATTTCCTGCAATGTCGAAATCTTCTGACACACAGATCAACAGATCAATAGCAAACTACATCCTACTTCATGGACCCCCTCGGATGGTGTTGCCGTGGGTTGGGGTTGCCAAGCTGCCGGAACCTGGTAAAAGAGAGGAGACATTTGCAGGCTCGTTCGTCCGCTGGAGCCATGGTCTCCAGTATTTGCTCGCTGTGGAGAAAGGGGCATCGAAAGAGGAGACGAGGGCAGAGAAGAACAGAGCAGCGTTTGCAGGCTTGCAGCGATCAACAGTCGAAGATTTGATTTGGTTCCTGGATCTGGGTTCTACCGCCCATTCTGTCGCCCATGGCGTGAACTTAGCGCAGCCCATTTTGTGGCTTTGCTGTTCCAACGGTCGTAAGCTGAAAACCCATGAAGCCATGGCACAGGACGTGTCTACTGCCTGAACCGGCGGTTGATGCATGTCATCGTCGTAGTCATCTCAGAAATGCCGAAACGATCGATGGCGAGTCAACAAAGAATCGAATGACGTCGCCGTTTCTCGGTCCTCGTGCGCCCAGTCTTGGATGCAGTCAGAATAGTTGACCCCCTCACCCCATTCCTCCCATCCTCAAGCGAGGCATTGTGGCATCGAACCAGCCGTCGGAGACCAGGACTGCACGTGGGGGTCGAAGCCCAGCGGCTGCTCTGTTGCAGGCTTCGGACCGCCAAGGAATCCCCCCTTGTCCTGGTCGTTCAATAGACTTCCGGCACGTCCTGTTGCACCCCCCAGGGCGTCAGGAGACTGGCGTGCTCCATGGAAGTGCTAAACCAGTTGTAATCTCCATGGTAAAATAGCGGTGCTCCGCACACAAGGACCCTGATCTACCAGCATGGGTAGTTTGCTCACAGTCTCCATCCAATTCTCCTCTCACGAGATTTCTTGGAGATGCCGTAAGGGATCAAGGTGCACTGCAAAAGGGTGGTTCATGTTGTCATTGAGATTAACAGACGCCTGATCGAAAGTGACACAACGATTTCTTCTCTCGTCGTCGACCCTTTTATCTCTAGTCTGTCTACCTTCGCGTGGCCCACCTCAAACCCATGTGCTTTTTCCCACGCCACGAAGCCAGCCATGACCTGCTCGGCTGCCGCGAGAGGCACGCCATATCTCCGGGGGAAATGGTCTTCTCAAACGAGTCGAGAAATAGTGCTGAGCGGAAATCATGTCCAATGTATTGGGCCGTAGCGCCGTCGATCGCCATGGTCCCCCCATGCCGCACGCAAGCAGGCTCGTGGGGGGTGCTCGATTCAGGGTCTGATCTCTGTATCTCGTTCTTCCTTTTTCAGCCCGTGGGATCTGTCTTGCTGAGCGACAGCTGTGATAACGGAGCGAGCGCCCCCAGATGAACATCATGTCCGTTCATGGCTGGACTGAACACCACAGCGCAAGCCACAGCCAGGTTTCCAGGAACATGCCCCAGGCGGCCCGCCCACCCTCAAATGAGATGAGATACCTAGAGCTTCTCCTTCGCCTTCTCCTTCCCAGCCATGGCGACCCAGAGCGACTCGCACGTCGCCACGACATTGCCCTCGGCGTCCCGGATCTCGCCGCGCAGCAGCATCTTGCGCCCGGTGATGGACCCGATGGTGCCGACGCCCAGCACGACGCTCGGCGTCGCGATTGGCCGCAGGTACCGCACGTCCATGGTCGCCGTCGCGGGCTTCATCGTGAAGATGGCGTCGCCGCGCCCGAGGTCCCGGTTGCGCTCACCCAGCATACCGAGCAGCTCGTCGAAGAGCAGCGCCGTCACGCCGCCGTGCAGCACGGCCGGGTAGCCTGCCATGCCGGGGCCGAGGGCGAAGAGGACCGAGACCTGCGGGATCGCGGGGCTGCGGGCGCTGCCGTCTGCTGCTGTTGCTGCTGGTGCCGGTGCTGGTGCCGGTGGAGGTGCCGCTTCGGTGGGTGTTGTGTAGAAGGCCAGACAGGCGGGGATGCGCTCGGCGTGGTCGAGCGTCTTGCCGAAGAAGCGGTCGTGGCGGTTGGGTTTGCCTTCTTCCAGGGGATCGCGGCTCGGTGGCACGTAGACTGTCGTATTAGGCGCTGTCAGGAGGGCGTTGCACCAAGGAATCTTGTGAAAGTCAACGCCATTCTGCGACAGCGTCGCACCCTGCGCGGGTTCTTTGCGGGATGCCATGATCAGGAGAAGCGCTGGTAGATGATATCCTGGTTGCAATGTCGAGTCTGTCCTGAGCTAGATGAAGCACGGAGACTGCAGGCCCTTGGTCAAGGCAGCACGTTCAGTCACTGAAGGAGTGGCTTTGAATTGAGGGCATCGCCTCTGCACGTGTCCTCGGTATATGATGTTCGCAGCCGCTTGATAGATGTGTTGTTGACATGGCCGCGAGCCGTAGTGCTGGTCAAGTGAGCTGGGCCTCGGCACGTAACCCCGCGGCGGTAGTGGAGCCGGCACCAGAGTCACCAGCTGGTAACTCTTGTCCATGTCTTTCAGGCCAGGCCTTGCTTTTCCTGCGCGTCAGTCAAGTCTGAGGGCCTATGCCTGGCTATGCTTCGTGATGCTCTGGTATCTGTGTTCGTGTTACAACTATTGTCTTGCCACGCCAGCTATGTGTAAGGATTTTCGTGACACAGGTTGATAGGCTCTGTCAGATGGGTGGGTATAACACCATTCACATATTCTCCATGCCGGCGATTCGCCATTATCCCTTTCCGCGTTTTGGAGACGCCATCTGCGAAATATGCAAGGAACTCTGAATAAGGAGATTTACTCAGATGTCTACATAAGGATACGTGAGCAAATGACTGTCACAGCGAACGAGTGATTACGGGCCCGGCGCAAGATTTCGATGAACCGTTGACAGCTGCTCGGACACCGCGGGGTCCGGCGATGCGCTACTGGGTGCCGTTCATGATGACCTGTCAAGTAGCCATGCCCTGGAGTGCATTAGTATGTTAGCTGCTCCATTGCTCTGTGCTCCATATGGCTGACCTTTCGAGATGACCTGTCGGATTTCAGACGTGCGATGGGCGTTTTCAATTCGAGCACGGCATGTACCTTTTTGCAGTCATTGCTCTATTCCGATGTGTCTCATCGCATCCCGGTGGTAGACATACTGACATATGTTTTGAAGCCATCAACCGCAACAGTACCGGCGACAGTCAATCATCGACACGAGCGCTAACAGTGGCGCCAAGGTGGGCGATGAACCACCGCGCCACACACGCCTTCCGACGGCCGGGACTAAATGCTGGGTTTATTCTGAGCGCCGCCGGCCAAAATTGGTCGATACGAGTTTTCAAGACCATAGTGACAGGATGCCCACTCTATAAGCTAAATTCAGCACATGGCAAGGCTGTGTCTTGATGAGGCGTACAAAGCTGGTCGTAATGACCAGGAGCCAGAATTCCAACCTTACTAAATCGATCCGCCTCTTCTCTTGAAATGACGCTGCACAAGGTGCCTGGACTATCTTATTAGATCGAAGACAACCCACTGATGAGTCCTCAATCATTTGTCTCACTTAATGACCTGGACTTTCACTAGATGGTTCATCGCAAAGCCTGAAAATTAAACCTTCCTCCCCTTCATTCAACCATTTGTGCCGAGCAGTCATGAGTTCGGAGCAACAACCACCCATCGTCGAGGCGGACCCGCGCGGTGACCTCACGCTCAACGTGGGCAACCCGAGCGATGATCCATCTTCGTCACGATGCTTCCTGGTTTGCTCCCGAACCCTCGCCAGGATCTCACCCGTCTTCGACCGCATGCTCTACGGCGCCTTTGCCGAGTCCAAGGGCAAGCACACTGCTGAGGCAGCTTGGACCATAGATCTCCCCGAAGACCCCCCCTTTGCATTCAACATTTTCGTCACGATATCCCACGGCTTTGTTCACAAAGTCCCCCGTTCTCTATCCCTCGACGAGCTCTACGACCTCACTGTGTTGACACACTACTACGATATGACGCACATCCTCGCCCCTTGGGCCTCCAGATGGATCGCCTCCCTTCACGAACCCAACCCGGGCTCTCCTATCCTTCTCGCAAAGCTTCTATGGATCAGCTGGGAGCTCGGCCGCGGTCCCCTCTTTGAGTCTACCGCACGGCGAATCCTCACAGAAGCCCCCGGCTCTCTCCTGGACCCTGATTCCCCTTTACACACTCTTCGAATGCCTCCTGACATTTTCGGTAAGCTCGAACGCGCTGCGTCATTGTTGAAAAGCGCCCAGCCCGTCGTAACACTCCCGCTTCTTCTGTAGAGGCTCCAGCTGACATGCCTTTTCCCTCGTCGCTCGACACAGAACGCATAACAGCCATCCGCAAGCAGACCATCCAGGCCATGCTCGACGTCTTCTACGACCTGGCCGAGCATCTCGTGACGGTCGACGAGAAGCCGCGGCTGTGTCGCCACGCGTCGTACATGGGGCCCCATCGATGCGAGTCCATGATCCTCGGGTCTCTGACGTTCTGTCTCACGCGCGCCGGGCTCTGGCCGCTGCCGGAGGCCACGGAGGTGGACCACAGCATCTCCGCGCTCTATGAGATCATGGCCAACCTCGTCATCCACGATATCGGCCAGCCGACTAGGGGAGATGCGGACCACAGTAGCTGCAACCCGAGGACGGACATTATGAAGAGGATCAAGGGCATTTTGAGGGAGATGCCGAATCCGGTATTGGACTCCCACGTGAAGGAGCTGGATAAAAAGATGACCATAATTAGTCTTTGAGAAGGTCATTCGGCATCCCGAGAGCACTCTGCTTGCATGCCTGGTCTTCGTGAATGATCCTCAGCCGCGCGGCGACATTTGGCAAAAGAGTCTTTGTGCGTTGGGTCGGTCTAATTTTTGCTATTGCGGCACGAACTTCAAGTGAGCCTCACCCAGATATCCGTATCATTACTGGAGGTGTTGTTCCGGCGATGCCATGCGCAGTAAACAGGCATCGGAGTAACTACTTACCACTACATTGTCGCAAAAACAAAACCACATAAAGAGCCCGCATTTGTCTTCAATCAAATTTCTATTCCTCGACATACGGCTCCTTTCATCTGCCCCCGCGTTAATTAAGGTGAGTGTCCAATCTGTCTGCACCTCATATGTTAAGCCTTCCTATTTGAGAAGCCCGAATAGTGGAAGAGAGATGACCTCTGTTGATGGAGACGCCCATCCCTTGTGGATCAAATATGGGAGTCCTTGGCACTTGAGAGATTGCCGCGTCACAAGAAGTCAGAGAATCCGAACACACGCCTTCCGTGCGGACAATGGGATATCCCTACTAACCCCCAAATGCGAAAATGCCAGCCAGAGTGTTACTTAGACTCGAGATCTTCAGCCTGAAATACCTGGATGGCATGGGTGTCTACCTATTAGAAGGGAACCTACATTCATTTGTGTTCGCAACAGTCACTGCCAGCCACCCTCCAATTCGAAGCCCAGGGTATTGAGACTTAAAGAGTATAGATACTGCTCCAAGAGTGTGGCCAAATCACTCCATGTCTCCTCCAGGGAGTCTACCCAAAGCCTATCAGCTGTTGTAGGTGACCTAGGTCCTCTTTGTACCGTACCCAGACCTGGGCTATGACGTGGTAGGCCGTTATTCGCTAAGGTCTAGTCTTCCAGGTAGATCCAGGTAGACAACCGGTCTATGTCGCTATGTAAAGTTTGCCTATATTGCATAGAGCGGCAGGGAAGCCTCCAAAGGCATGCCAGTTGGGCTAGCAGGTTCATGGCCATGTGGTGCCCTTGTGCCTTTTTTCGCATGAACCATACGAGGCCTCAGCCCGAGCTTCACATGAAGAGCCTTCATTTTGTGATATGTGGCACGCTATTCTTCGAAGCTCATAGTAGCCTCAGGTACAGATCTATTTGCAGACGGCTGCGTCCGGCCTTGAAAGTCATCATTTTGATAACGCCAGCCTCGCGTCAGTTCTGGCACGCATACGATTGGGTAGCCTGGGCACTGACAGATCTATAAACAAGCCACTACCGTACTTGAGGGCCTTCTGCGCACAGTACCTCTCGTTCACGAAGAACGATACAATGGCTGCCAAACGCCGTGCCTTTCTGATCGCCTCCACGTCAACGTCTGAGTCAGAGGCGCCTACAAAGATCAAGAGGCGGCCATAGTCGGGCAATTCCCTGTCACCGGCCATATCTCTCTCAAGCCATTCTTGGCTTCAACGTTATGCAGCCGATGACAGGAACGCCCACGGCTTGTCGCGCCACAGAGCACCATGGCACAACCTAGGGCTTTCAACACTTCGTCGGCGCGCTGGAACAAGTCTTGGCCCCGACTGCAAGATGCACAGCAGACAGAACGTTAGCGTCAAAAGGTTCGCCACCTGCAGAGTCGAATGAACACTTCCCCCCCAAGGTCACAAAAGAGTCTCCCGCAAGGCTAAAAACGGAGTGTTGTAGGCCAAAAAGGTAATACAGTGATGAGGACGAGACTCGAACTCGCGCGGGTTGCCCCACCAGGAAATCTGTTAAGGAGACCTTAACCTGGCGCCATAACCAACTCGGCCACCTCACCGGTGATTGATGAGGGCCGGTTCGGGAGTAGGGATGAAGATGGGCAGGAGAGTGGAGGAGAAGGAGAAAAAAATCGAATCGCGCGGTTGTGGGCGGCGTGTGAGAATATCGCGCAGGTATGGGGCAAGTAGGTGGTGCGGAGACGGACGCCATCCGGACGTGGAGAGTTTTCAAGCTCCAACTCAGGCGTCAGGGGTTGGCCCAGTACAACACTTTTGCAACGCATTGGACCATTGATTGGCAGAGGGTGACAATCAGAATTAGGGGTATCAAGACCACGCGGTCGTTCATCGTACTAGGTATCTAATCATGTCTCGCGAGAAGAGGTCGTAAACTCGTAGCGTATGCCGCGGCAGCAGCGAGGTATCCAAGAAAGAAAAACGGGATGACAACAGGGTAAAAGGTGAGGGAGCGTTGAAAAAATAAAGAAAGAAAAAGGCCGTACATCTATAGGGCTTCACGACCCAGTGGCATCAGCATGTCCACCACTAAGCACGGCCTTGACCCGTCTCGGATCCTCAACAAACTCGAGCGCCTGTTCCCTCTTGGTCTTCTGCGCCCGTCCCGCGTAGTCGGAGCGATCAAGATCGTCAAGGTCACTGCCAACCGAGCTCAGCGAGCTCATGGAGCTCGAGCTCGGGCTCCGGTTCATGACCATGTTGACCCGCTGTCCGGCGGCCTTCTTGTACTCGACCTGCTGCTTCTTCATGGAGACGAGGCGCTCGTCGGCGCAGTGCATCGCGACGACGCCGAGGCCGGGAAAATTATGTTCAAGAAAGTCGCGCAGCAGCGGCAGCACCGACTCGTCAGGCCGGTACGTGCCCGAGTCGTTGTCGATGATGAGTTGGTAGTATGCCGGGTCGTCAGGCGGGGGCTCGGTCGGTGGACCCCCGGGTATGTCTTTCGCTGGGTGCGTGTTTTCCGCGGGCTCGAGATCCGACGAAGCCGATGGTCGGTCGAGGCGACGGATGAAGAATTCGCCCGAGCAGGCAATGTAGGTCGCGACATCGCTGTGCATTGTGTGCTTGCTCAGCATGTCGATGCTGAATTCGCTGCCCGTCTCGGTGAAGCGGAACATGCCGTCGAGGGTCAACACATATGTGAAGATGCGACCGCCCTCGTCAAAGTGAGCGAGGCGGAGGAACTGCTGCGAGGCTTCCTCGGAGCAGGGGGCAAAGGTCCCAGCCTCGGTCGTCGGACTGAAGTTGTAGACGCGGCGGTGCTGTTTATGGAGCGCCTTGTTGAGGATGCGGCCGCGGAGGCCCTTGCCAGCGAACATGAGAGCGATCGAGGGGCGAAACTCGACGTAGCGGTGGTACAACTCGGAGGGGACGGGGCCTGAGAGATGCATCTCGTTGGATTGAAAGCTGGGTTTTGTTAGTGGGTGTCGAGAGGGAAGTCTGACAGGGTGATGATGCTCACTCGTATTTCTGCATCTTCTTGGGGTCGGGTTCCTCTTCCGAGTGCTCCTGTCTGAGGTCGTCCTGGTTGTCCTTGTTGACTTTGGTCCCTGTGAGGCGTCCGATGGTCGGGCTGAAATGCTTAAAGTAGATAGAGGGCCCGATGGTGTACATCTGGGCGTGAGGCGGGTTAGACCGACCGATCACCTGCATGCTGACCCAGAGACTCGGCGTCATGTCGACGTGGGGATCGAAACGGCTCGTGATGGCCTTGAAAAAGTAGGCTCGCTTGCTGCCCATGCGCTTCTTGGCCTTGAACTCACGCCCTGGCGGCGGGATCCCAGCCCAGTCTTCGCTGACATGGTTGACCTTGATCGTCACGTTACCGAGACGGTCGTCCGAGTCGGGGTAGTCCTCGTCATAGATGCGGCACTTGAGGGTGAAGCCGGCGGCTGGGATGTTGGCAACGACCCATTCCTCATCCCAGACGGGCTCGGTCGTGCGGCGCATGGTCCGGGTGCGGCGATACAGGTCGGGGTCCTCGCTGTGTCGTTTCGGCACAGGTGCCTTGAGGGTGGCATGGACAAAGGGGTCGGATGATTGCGTCTTGAGATCGGCAGCAGGCAGGTTGGATGCACGGTGGAAGATGAAGCGAACGGTGAAGCCCGGAGGAGCATCGGGCAGAGGCGTCGGGTCGAAGCCGCCGGGCGGGGCATCCTTCAAGTTCTCCTTCAATTTCTTCTTGTGCTCCGCCAGGGCCACTTTGAGGTCGCCAGAATGGTGATGTGGCTTTTGCTGAGGGGCCTTGTGGCCGGTCGCCTGGGGATTGGCTTTGCTCTGGACGTGGTCTTCGAGGGCGCCGCTCGGGGCCGGCCCATGGGGCGTGCCGTCTCCATGTGGTATGCGATGAACGTTATCAGCACGGCCGTCTTTTGTTTCGGAAGCGATGCGTGATGATGGTGCCTGATTCTCGGTGTCTTGGTTCGTCACGTTGTCTGAGGAATGCGGTGTTCGTGTTTCCTCTCCATTCGTCGTTGCTTCCTCGACGACAGCGACGGGGTGGGGACCGTCGGGCCCGTTCGCTCGTGTCTCGCCGGCCATTCTCCTCCACTATTTCCTTCCGATCCGTTCGGCGTCGGGACCCTGCCTGCAGGCGCCAGATGACGAACGAGGTCTCCGCGGAGCAGATTGACCGGGCCGTGGGCGGGGTTGTCGTAGAGGGAACGCGGCGGCGATGCGCGGTCGCACAAAGCACGAACTCTAGCGTAGAAGTGGGACGAGATGGGCTCTTGGCTTGGGGGGTGCTTGGGACTTAGGTAAGCAGGTCCAAGTCAGTCATCAGAGCAAGTTGGGGTATCAAGATGGGGCAATGAGCCTCTGCGAACGCTCCAAGGAGAAGAGCAAGACGGTTCCATATGAATGCTTCGCCATGACCGAAAAATAAAATAAAAGAGGTCGATTCTCTGCACGCCGCCTGCTAGCCACGCAGTCTCGACCATGTGCCCTGCGACCTTGGAGGGGTGCCGCGCTGCCGAAGTGGAGCAAAGGCGTCGCAATCCCCCCAAGCCGCTTGCCGAGAATCTGACGTCATTTGCATTGGCGTCTGGTGACAGCTCCCGCCATGGGCGTATATGTATCTTCGGGCAGTGGACTCAGTGGGTGTTGTCAGAAGCTGTCCACTGGTCTCAGAGCCCCCTGGTCTCAGAGCCCCCTGGTCGAAACATCTTGCCCTGTGATGCCCCGTGGCTTCGCTTCAGGAAGCTCTCCACGGCAAACCTCATCTGCACCGCGTCCACATCGACCTACCTCCCTCGTCAGCCCTGCCAGCCACTCGGCTACATCGAGTCACGTTGGTGCGTCGCCCTGCCGCCAGAGCCGTTCATCGCTACCCTTGTCTTTCGGGAATAATCACCACTAGCTTCTCAACCGCTGCATGGGATCTGTCGATCGGTACGCCTGCCGCCATAGCGAACAGCCTGCCTTGTACCCCAGCCGTCAACTGTCAGGTGCAAAAAAAAGCACGTTCCAGTGGCTGGCCTTGGGATCCTTGGAACAAGCCTCGCTGCCGGGCTGGGCCCTCGTACTCACCCGTTCATCCCTCACCCAGCGTCACTGCGGTCCACACCTTCCCCACGATGCCACGCGTACTCAATACAGCAGGCGAGCATAGCTTTCCAGTCTGAGTTGCGTGAAGCTGACACGGGCAGCACAGCATGGTATGCACGCCTGAATACTGTCTCACCTGCTTCCTCCAATACCCTGCCATGGCCGACGCTTGCTGATCCGTCTTGCCCAGCAATACTTGTCGATCTCGCAAGGTCAAATGTCAGTCGATCCCCAGGAGCCTCCGGCTGCGAGAGCCGAACCGCTGATCCTTGGACCCAGGCGATGAACGACAACCCATCTGCCAGCGATGCTCTATCGCCGGCCGCTACTGCGAGCGAACTGCACGCCCAACTCGCCAGTCTCTTCCCGAAAGGAGAGACCGTGGGCATAGGGACGCAGTCGCGAGTAGGTTTTCGAGTTGGAGAACCCGTCTTGCATCTAGAATCTAACCACGGCCAGGCCCCGGCCCGAAATGGCCATCACCGGACAATCCTCGCAAGGCGCTCGCGTCGCCAGACATCGCCCGTATCTTCCACCACTACATCATCGAGATAGCCCCGTGGTATGACCTCAGCGATCCGGCATCCAGCTTTGCTACGAGACTTCCTCGGCTCGCATTGGAGATGCCCCTGCCATTCAGCGCCATCATCGCCCAGGCGGCCATGCAGATCTGCCAAACCACGGTGCCGAGCCAACGACCAGTTGCTGAATTCTACCACGGCCATTGCGTTCGGCTCCTCATCGAGTTGCGTGACGACTGTGGCTCGGTCGAGTCCGAAGCTGCCCTGGCCGCTGTGTGTCTCCTGCGGTCGTACGAGATTCTCGACGGTACGTGCTGGACGTTGCCTGTCAAGCTGGGTATGGTGGCTGAATGGCAACAGAGGAGATCGATCCAAACAGACACCTGCACGGGGCCTACTCGCTAGCCTCACGCCAAAAGCTGCTGCTAGATAACGGCTTTCGCACGTTGTCGAGTGCGGGATTCTGGAACTATCTTCGCGAGGACATTACCTACAGCTTGTTCGAGGAGCAGCCCCTGAAGATGGATCTCGAGAACATTCCCATGCCGACGCTGCAGCTGGAGGATCATGACCATCTCAACGCCATATCCCTCGTCCTCGGCCGCATCCTCAACGCCCACTTCAACGACGGCTCTCCCGGCCGGGATCAGCCTGCCTCTGTCTCTGCCATGTTGCCCGTGCTGCAATCCTGGCAAAAGGCCCTGCCTCGACATTTTGAGCCGCTGTGTAGGGACAACAGTCGCCCGAGCGGTGCCCTACCTTTGGTTTGGATGCTTGGGGACTGCCATGGTGGGTGGCCCTGCAACTTTGCCAAGATCCGGTCTAACATTGTGTAGCTGCTGCACGACAATACTTCCTGGTATCCATCATGGTGCTCTGCATGGTCATGCCACTCGAAACGTTGACCGAGATCCTGCAACTTGTTGAGACCGACCTTCCCTCAAGTCCGTCTCGAGAAGTTATTTTGGAAACCCACGCTCTCGAGGTGTGCGGCTTGGCCTTCACGGCAAAGTCAAATCCTGTTCTGGTCAATGCCTTCGGGCCCATATCATACTGTGAGCTTGCGTTAGCTCATCAGGGTGCCAAGAGAAAGTACTGACGCTGGTGAAAGGTGCAAGACACATACGCCCAGAAGCGTCTCGACAGGAACTCCTGCGTTGCCTGGCCCCTTGCAAGAAGACAGTCGGGTGGCCTGTTCAACGACTGATGGACGACTTGCAGAGTCGGTGGCGCGTGTCCCCGGCTTGAAGATTTTTGGAGAAACTTGCTTCGGGTCAAAGGCTCGTGGTTGTAGGGTATGAATTTCGCGGCGAAATCAAGTCCGGGTCCTGTTAAGATCACGAATGGTGGCGTCGAGTCAACCCCTAGTTTGGGCTTGGTCTTGCAGGGTTTCCTAGGCGTCTCGTTTCACACGACAGGCGACGACGACATAAGGAGTTCACGAAGATCCTATTGTCAAATATTCGAGATTCTCAAGTATCATAGTGTTGCCGAACTTCGTTGGTTCTGGGGCTTTGTTTCATCGATTGATCATGTTTCGACGCCCAGGGTATCGAGAAGCAGGCTGGCTGGTCAAGGATTTTGAAAAGCCATGGCTACCGTTGTGGGCCATTCACCTCGATTGGCCATCCCATCGGTAACGCAAAGAGAGAAAGAGACGCTGGATTCCCGCACCATGGAGCTGGCTGTGTGTTACATCCACCAAGAGGGTCTGGTATTTATCGAAGATGTTGTGTCGCAAATGTCATCGACGGTTTGAGCGCCCAGATGACGTACGACGCTCGCATCCGGCAAGCCCATGGTGAAGATGGTCCATTCGACTACAGCCTGGCCAGCCTCCATCAGGACCCGCCATCTGTAGCCGAACACACCTTTCCCAGGTCCCTCTCAGCGCCGACGAGGTCACTTTGACGCTGGCTTTGCTCACCCCTCACCTGTGTACTCCCGTCGTCGGCATGACTCCCGCCAGTGACTCGACGCAGATCTGGCTCGGCACCAATAACGACGAGACTTCCGCCCAGAAAGGTGCCGACGGCGACCGCGAGAGTGATTGCATCAAGCAGGACCTTTTCGAGAAGAATCAAGCTACCCATGAACTCTGCCAGTCAGTTGTCAAGTAGGGTGTATGAAATTGACGCCTCTGGGGCGCAGTGGTGCCCAATCTGAACCCGGACGTCAGGGTCGTGCTGACTATGATACACTTTGCACCTTGATATCGCAACCACATGAGGCTGCAGTTCGCTAAGAATATGCATCCGATACTTGAGGGACGAACTCGGGCGCTCAACGTTCCGGTGGGCTGGGGACGGCTGGACGATATGCCGCCTGACCCTTTTGGTGAGGGTTTGGGAACAGCAATGACTTTGACTAGGTGCTGCGAGAGAGGCGCCATGGGAGAATATCGTCAAACGGTCACATAGAGCATGAATGAAACTACCACATTCATGAGGCTCGAAGCCTGGTGTCTTTTGCGACCAGTGAAGGCTAAGTTGGACTGCTTGGTCGCAACCCCTGCGGATACCTTTCACGAGGGGAGTTTGGGCGTGCCAGCAAGGCCATCAATGACTGACCTTCAAAGTCTGCAGACACAACTTTTTTTGCCATCGTAACCTTTAAGACCGTCCTGTCGGAGAAACAGGAAGGGCATAAATTTATAAAGAGGCCGACGGCCTATCACCTCGACGAACTTCTTCCTCCATCCCTCAATCACTACCATCGAAACTTGAGTAACCTACTCCCTTCCCACGCAAAAGCAATCCCACCACATCGGCTATCGATACAAAATCAACACCATGAAGGCCAACACCCTCGTCATCGTGGCCGCCTGCGCCCTCGCTCAGACCGTCGCCGGCGGACCCATCACCCCTCTCTCCAGGGCCGCCAGCGCCACCAACACCACCATCGCCGCCAACACCACGAACACCACCGCCAACACCACAAACACCACCGCCCCTACCACCCTCGACAAGAGCAAGGAGCTCCCCTTCCTCACGACCCTCAAGAGCAGCAAGAAGCTGCAGGACTCGATCCTGCCCAAGATTGGCAGCAACATCGACCTCGACAAGGCCAACACAATGCAGGACCTGATCGGCGAGCTCTCGGACGCCGAGCTCGCCCGCCTCACGTCCGTCTTCGACGAGCAGGACATGGCCCGCCTCACCACCAGCGGCTTCGACGAGGCCGACCTCGCCAAGCTCGCCAGCCTGCCGGCTCTCGCGCCCGCCCCGGCCCCCGCGCCTGCCACCTTTCTTTCGGCTCCCGCGTCCGACAAGGAGAAGTTCGTCAAGGACAGCAGAGACTTCAGCCACGCCCTCGCCGGGATATTCGAGGAAGCCAGCAACGACAAGGAGGAGCAGATCATCTTCGACAACGTCCTCAGCTTCCTCGGCCTCGAGGTCGGCGACGTCTTCGACCTGGCCAAGGTGGAAGACGCCCTGCTGGAAAAGATGTCGGAGGACGTCGTCGAAGACGTCCCCGGCTATGAAAACGGTCGCGAGGCTGCTGTCGTCAAGAGGGGCGAGCCGAAGGCGAAAAAGGGCGAGGGGAGTAGGTGGACGAGGAAGGGCAAGAACATCTGCCCCTATGACCGTGAGGACTTGACTGGCTGCCAGCGGCCTTCGGCGCACGACGACCACCAGCAGCTCTACGACAACGCTGTAAGGTTCATTGCGCAGTGGGAAAAGGATTACAAGGAGCAGGAGGAAATTACGCAGAGGCTGTTTGAGAAGGAGCAGCGCGAGGAGCGCGAGGCCATGGAGAAGGCCAAGAAGAAGACGGCTTAAACGCCTAGTCCGACTGAGTCAAGCGCGAGTGGCAGCTATCAGGAGGATGCTTGTTTTTGTTTAGGCGGAGCCATCATCCCTGAAGCCTCCGACTGGTGTTCGTAGGAAAAGACGTAGATTTAGTTTTTATCAGTCATAACAGATCATCAAATGAGTACTGCTCCAGTGAAGTGGAGATGAAGTGTGGTTTCATTACTATCAACATTCAAACATTTCGTCATTTATTTCTTGGAGGCGTTTACAGGCGGCTCGACGTCTTGACGGCAGGCGCCTTCTTGACATCGAAGCGGTCGAGGTTCGAGACCTTGGTCCATGCCGCGACAAAGTCGTTGACAAACTTCTTCTCGCCGTCGGCGCTGCCGTACACTTCGGCAAGGGCGCGCAGCTCGGCGTGGGATCCGAAAACGAGATCCGCACGCGTGGCAGTCCACCTCTTGTCGCCAGTCTTGCGGTCGCTACCCTCGAAAAGCTCGTCGTCGCTGCCGGTAGCCTTCCATGCCGTGCTCATGTCGAGCAGATTGACAAAGAAGTCGTTGGACAGCTGGCCGGGGCGCTTGGTCAGGACGCCATGCTGGGATCCGTCGTAGTTGGTGTTCAGAACGCGGAGGCCACCAACAAGGGCGGTCAGCTCAGGCGCCGACAGCGTCAGGAGGTGAGCACGGTCAACAAGGAACTGCTCAGTCTTGACGCGGTCGGTCGAGTGGCCGTAGTTGCGGAAGCCGTCGGCAAAGGGCTCGAGGTGGCTGACGGACTCAATGTCGGTCTGCTCCTGCGTGGCGTCGCCACGGCCAGGAGTGAAGGGGACGGTGACGCTGTGGCCGGCGGCCGAGGCGGCCTTCTCAACAGCGGCGTTACCGGCCAGGACGATCAAGTCGGCGAGAGAGACCTTCTTTCCACCCTGCTGAGCGTCATTGAAGCTCTTCTGCACACCCTCAAGGGCCTGCAGAACCTTGGCCAGCTGGGCGGGGTTGTTGACCTCCCAGTCCTTCTGAGGGGCGAGGCGGATACGAGCGCCGTTGGCACCACCGCGCTTGTCGCTGCCGCGGAAGGAAGAAGAAGCTCCCCAGGCAACGGAGATGAACTGCGAGGGCTCAGGTCCGGAGGAGAGGATCTCCTTCTTGAGAGCCGCAATATCGCTCTCGTCGATCAGAGGGTGGTCAACAGCGGGGATGGGGTCCTGCCACAGGAGGTCTTCGGCAGGGATTTCAGGGCCGAGGTAGCGAGCCTTGGGGCCAAGGTCACGGTGAAGGAGCTTGAACCAGGCGCGAGCGAAAGCATCGGCAAACTGGTCTGGGTTCTCGAGGAAACGGCGAGAGATCTTCTCGTACTCGGGATCGAAGCGCATGGACAGATCGGTGGTGAGCATGGTAGGGCGGTGCTTCTTGGACGAGTCGTAGGCATCGGGAATGATCTCGTCATCCGTCTTGGCCACCCACTGGTTGGCGCCAGCAGGGCTCTTGGTGAGCTCCCACTCGTACTTAAAGAGGTACTCGAAGTACTTGTTGCTCCACTTGGTCGGGGTCGCGGTCCAGGTGACCTCGAGACCGCTGGTGATGGTGTCGGGACCCTTGCCAGACTTGTATCCGTTCTGCCAGCCGAAACCCTGAGCCTCAAGAGAGGCACCTTCGGGCTCGGCACCAATCTTGTCGTTGGGGCCGGCGCCGTGGGTCTTGCCGAAGGAGTGACCACCAGCAATGAGAGCGACGGTCTCCTCGTCGTTCATGGCCATGCGGCCGAAGGTGGTGCGGATGTCGTGGGCAGCCGCAACAGGGTCGGGGTTACCATCGGGGCCCTCGGGGTTGACGTAGATCAGACCCATGTGGGCAGCACCGAGAGGCTTCTGCAAGTCACGGGTGTGGGTGCCCTTGTCATGGCCCTCGTCGGTGACGAGGCTGCCCGGACCCTTGTCGCCCTTGTTGCCACCAGAGTAGCGGACGTCGTTGCCAAGCCAAGTGGTCTCGCCACCCCAGTAGACCGACTCGTCGGCCTCCCAGACGTCGGCACGGCCACCAGCGAAGCCGAATGTCTTGAAGTCCATCGACTCAAGGGCGACATTGCCGGTGAGAAGCAGCAGATCAGCCCAAGAGATCTTGTTGCCGTACTTCTGCTTGATGGGCCACAACAGGCGACGAGCCTTGTCGAGCGAGACGTTGTCGGGCCAGCTGTTGAGGGGAGCAAAACGCTGCTGGCCCTGGCCACCACCACCGCGGCCGTCGAAGACGCGGTAGGTACCGGCGCTGTGCCACGCCATGCGAACGAAGAGACCTCCGTAGTGACCAAAGTCGGCGGGCCACCAGTCCTGAGAGTCGGTCATGAGGTCCTTGAGATCCTTCTTGACGGCATTGTAGTCGAGGCTGTTGAAGGCAGCAGCATAGTCAAAATCGCTGCCGAGGGGGTTCGTGACATCTGTGTGCTGACGGAGGATGTTGAGCTTCAGAGCATTGGGCCACCAGTCACGGTTGCGGGTGCCGCCGCCGCCGACATTGTTGAGTTGGTGGACGGGGCACTTGCTCTCCGACTCGGCCATATTGGGTGAGTCGGTGTGGTTGTGTCTGCGGTTTATAAAGTGTGATTGGAGGGGTACTCGATGATACCTGGTCGACGTGGCAGGACGAGGTATTGCGAGGAATCTGGAGGAGGAGGAGGAAAGACGCAGGGAAGGAAGGAGAGGAGGGGTACGGAGAAGGGGCATGAAGAAGATCTGTCAGGGGGGGCAAAATGGCGGAAGCAGGGTCCTTTATGAGGGCAGCACGTCAGGCAAGGGAGAAGGAGGGAGGAGAGGGGGGGGGGGCAAGAGAAACGGGGTGGTGCCTTCGAACTGAACAGAAAGAAGGCATGCATGCACTTGTTATCAGACGTGGTAGCTGCGACCCCGCATTGCGAGGTCGGTCGTGGCCATCGGCGCGCACACGCACCCGTTTGGGCAATTTTCAGTGAGGAGCATGACGAATCCCTTGCTCCCCGTTGGCTGGCGCTGTGGCCGAAAACATAAATTTGTCATTTGTCAGGGAAGGTCCGACATACATCGCGGCTTCCCAGCAGACCCAGGTGTCGGGCTAGTTGGCAGAGGAGGGGCAACCTGATGCATGATGCAATGACTGGCTGGGTCCCCCGTCTGGACCTGCCGTGCGGGGGAAAGCTAAGAATAGGCCCCGCAGCGGCGGTGTGAGGGTGGGCTGTCGCCATCAAGGTCCGCCATGGCGTAGGAAGGCGGGCGGGCATAAAAGTCGGGGGTGGGCACCCGGGGTATAAAGGACCCAGCTCGCGTACGAATTGCTTCGAGAACGGGAACTTGAGTATTGGGCAAGTTGCTTGTCGTCGATTGGGATTGTCTGGGGAAGTGGGAGCTTGGGGACCTCGAAAACGCACCTCGGCCGACGCATCGATTTCTCGTCTGTGTCGCCTCGCAGTGGCAGGTGTTGTCGTGGTGGGGCACGCATGGTGAGGGGCAAATTCTGGCCATTCACAGGAGCCCGGTCATCGAGCCGTCAGCTGCCGAACGCCATCAGAGTTCGTGCTATCCCTGTTGCGACGTCCCAAGAAACGTGGGAAACACCGAGAGAATACCGAGGAGGGGCTGCGGAACGACCTCGGAACCTCCAAGGCTACTCTTTCCTCTTCGTGTCTGGATGCTGAATCAACCTAAATCAACCACAGCCGGCCATCTCGGACCTTCGCAGTAGTGGTCAGACTGTGGCAATGCACCACCATCCTACTCGCTGCGAGGTCAGTCGGTCATCAAAGGGTGCTCGTCGCGGCCAATCGATCGTGGACTGCTCACCACCCTTTCATGCTCCGAACTTTCCTCCACCCGGGCCCGGTCTTTGGGACTCGAAAAATACATATGATGGGACCCATTGCCCTGCACTGCGCACTCTGTTTTATCAGATCTTATCAGACTTGCTTCCTGGCACATCTTTTCTCATCTTGAGACCCCGTTATTGCATCATAGACGGTCTCCATCGTTGACAAGAACGCCGGGCCAAATCCTCTTTTTCAGGCACAGGCTTCACATCTGGCTCGACTCGTGTTCGTATTGGTTCAGTGCTGACCGCAAACTGAGTCACAAAGATGCAAAGCGACCCTCTGAGTGTGATATTTTTACACGTCACGTACGCAGCTGAGGAGCCTAGTGGCCTACTGATCATGGTCAGCCGATCAAAGTTTGACAAAACGTTGAGGTAGCACCATCTTGACCCACGCGCGATTTACCGCGCGTCCCCCTGCAAGCTGGGTTGAGCGAGAAGCGAAACCATCGCGCAGTCACGTGTGATGGTGTCTACAGCTAGACCAAGACCAACAGCCGTTTCAATTGAGGAAACAAGCCTGGCAAGAGTGGGGGCGCCAATGTGAAGTATCGGATCAGCAGACACCTATCTCGCTCATATTCCTAGGACACTCTAAAGCCACGGCCGAGCCGAGCGTGTCGGACATCATGTTCACCGGACGGCGTTGGGCCGTCCAGCAGCGCCCTCTGCGTCTACAGGCTGGTTTCTTACGCCATAACCTGCCCCAAATGACTTCAGAATAGTGAAGGCTCGAGAGTTGCCTGCAATTTCCCACCGAGCATCCGAAAGTGTTGACCGCCTGACCTTGACTGTTGTGTTATCCGGGGCACTGTGACATCGTCCATAACGATGTTATCGAATACTGTATTGGCTCCCCAAGCCAGGCAGCATCGCTAAGCTTTTCTTGCCATCTGCCAAGTTGGCTTCATCATGAGACAGCCGTCCGCGCCTGGTACGCTAGCCGCGTTTCTCACATCGGAGGATGATTTAATTCAGACATTGGACGTGGACGCTGCTATCGTTCACATGGATCAGTGAATATCGGTCGTCGATGGGCTCGTTCGACGTCCCTAGGCCTCGGCCTTCGACTAGCTACGCTGCCTTCCTGTACCCTCCATCACATCATTCCATGAATGTTGTGGCAGCCCGACGAGTCCTCCCACGAAGGTCTCATGGCGCATCGGGAATTTCAAGTGGACCGGCATTCGGAGGGACTCGACTACCGGACGTTTGACGGCGTTACCTCGTACCGGTATTAGAGGATCCGCCTTTGGCAAAGGCTTATGCCCCGAGGTCCTCATAGCCTTTGAGATGAACCATCAGCCTCTTGGAAGGGACAAAGGCGGACCCGCACGGCTTGTGGTGCCGGGTTGATTCGCCCGGGCGCAGTAGTTTAGGACCCCGAAGTGGCTGTCGGCGGCCGAGCTCGGTGCCGCGAGCCTGTCGCCCAGGCTATGGTAAAATCGGACGCGGAACCCGAATGGCTTGAGGCAATAGCTACAGAGAGAGACGATTCCAGCTGGCAGAAGTGGCCAGTTTTGGTAAAGCTTACGACTGATGAACCCAAGCTGATGGCCCGCGCTGTCTCTGCCTCTGATCAGGAGCGGCTGCTCATGGCGCGGCGTAAACATGTGCACTTGATCTCTATGAGCGTGTCGGCCTCAAATGATATTTCGAATGCATCAATATTATACTACGCCTGTGTAAATCTTGCAAGCGAACATCGTCATTCGCGCATGAGATGATATAATGAAGACAACGCCAATACTATACGACGGTCCTCGAGCAAGCTGGCGACTGCCCCGAAATAACATGAACCAGCGCTGGAGTGATAAGGGTGCCAACGTTGTAGTCTATTCAGTGGCTTTGTCGTAGCAATCTTAATCTGAAGTGACTCACGCGCAATAACTGAAGACAAGGCCCCCTTCGAGTGTACAGTTCTCAAATTTATATATGCTCATGGGAATGAAACTTCCGCCTGACGCGCCGCAGCCGAGACAGCAAAGACTGTCTTCAATATTGGCTTTCCAGAAATGTGTGCCACAGCAGCGGTACGCTTTGTTTGTCCATCATCGAGATCAGTCACGACAAAGTCTCCTTGATCCGCCCGCTGTCAGCAGCGCATTGGCTTGAATGAAAGCCCTCAAGCATTCTCTGCCTGGGAATCCCAGTGATGGTGTCATTGAGCCTCTCATGAATGGTGCGCCGCATCTCAGAGGCTTCTGGAGCAGGCTCTTCGTGTAGTTAGATGTCCTTCGATCTCGGAGGAGAGTCCTTTTCTTCATGGGTGAAAAGGTAGAGACGGGTATCTATGTGCGGACATGGTCCTAAATGACTCGGTCAAAGGAAAGCAGCACCATAATCTGGACCTGGATGGATAAGTGATCCGTTGACATGGGATTATCCTGGGACAATGGAGTTAAGTGGTCGCAAAACTTTGGGGAGTCTCATGACTACCGCATGGTAACTACCATCCGTTCCTCCTGTAATTAGAAACAGAAGAATTCCAAACTTCAACGATATGTGACAAAGATCCAGCACTGAAGGCTATGATTCTTCAACAGCAACCTGCCAGCAGATTGAAAGATAAGACGCAGGCCAAGGGTCTATGAAAACCTAGGTGTCCCTATTGAAAACACGATCTCAACACGGGCATGAATTGACCCAGCGGACTCCAGCAAGATAACCCCTGCTTAGCTGCCACTTGCCACATGGTGAGTTACAATTCTTGGTCATCTCGACGTCGCAAGGCCGTCCAGGAGAAATTGTCTTAGCTCGATCGATGAATCTTTTGCAACTTATCTAGTGAGGTTGTCTCACGTCTCTCAGCCTCCCTAGCACGTGTTGAATGGTTTCCACTACATGCAAATCAATGCGGATGTTGTTCGAGGCAAAGCTTCATTTAAGTGAGATCCAGGGTGATTTGCGGTGCTGTGGTTCTATGAGCTCCTCCTGATCATTCGATCGACTTGAACCTTAATACCCATCACGTATCACGTTGATAACAATGACTCGGTGAAGGCGTCAGCTCCAGCGTTTCTTGCACCAACACGAGAACCACGAAACCCGATCGAATAGAACGACACGTTCTGGACGCATCTGGGCCCAGCAGTCGTCACCATCCATGTCGAACTCCTGGCCTTGACAGCAAACCTCCGGAAGGGTGGAACGACAACCTTTATCTTGCCCCTGTCCCCGGACCAAACCTAGGGGAACCCCCTGGTAAGGATGTGGCGAACCCTTGAACCGCGGTATCCGACCTGCCAGGGCCCCCGCCAAGATGTGCACGATGAGCAGGGGACGTGTTAGACCCACGACGGCGACATGAACCGGGGTCGGCGGGGGCCGACGGCGACTCTACTACGACTAGGTCGCCCGGCGATGTGCGACGGGGTAACCATGCGCTCGCCGCAGCTGCAAAAAGGGTGCTGTGAATCGTGTCAATGTCAATCACAGACTACACAAGTCATGACAAGTGATTTATTCTTGTTTCGTGGAGGTTGCAAACACCCGCGTGTTCCGAAGCCACCTGTAAGCACCATCGCATTCATTGAGCATCACATGTCAGACACCCTCGGTCTTTTTGACGGCAAATAGGTATCATTTGGTTATCCTAGCAAATTAACATCCCCCCCTGCTATTCATAACTCACGCCCTGCACATACGGCCATCGGCAGCGACAGACCACCTCTCACTGCCAACGCCCTTGAGCACGTACAGCCTACCCTCGGGGTCCCACTTATTCTTGATCTTTAGTAGCTCGGCGTAGTTGCCGCCAAAGAAGGCCTTCTGCCAGTTGGGCTGCCTGAAGTCGGCCTCGTTCATGTACGAGCCGCTACCGGGGGTGACGGCCTCGATCTGGGGCATGAACTGCTCAGTCATGCGGCGCTGGGCCTCGAGCATGTTGTCCCAGGGCGCCTTGCTGTCCCAATCGGTGATGAGCTGCATCTGGACGAGGGTGTCGCGCCAGGCGGGGAAGACGGAGTTGTCGGCGGCGCCGGCGGGCTTCTTGTAGGTGCCGGCGGATCCGACGGCGAGGACGCCGTTGGCGGTCAGGTTGCCAATGACGGCCTTGAGGGCCGGGCGGTTGGCGTCCGAGAAAGCGGAGCGGGGGATGAGACGGCCGCCGAACTGGTAGCGGGCCACCTCGAGACTGCCCTTGGGCAGCGGGCCCATGTAGCGGTCGTAGTGGTCGCGGTAGGACAGGGTGCTGTATGCGACGGGCAGGTTGATGCCGATCTCGGTTAGAGCCGTGGTGAAGGGCTTCAGGACGACGTCGCGAACGTGTTCGGCAGACGAGTTCCACAGTGTCAGAGGCTTGACAACAAGCATCATGCTGTTCATGTAGTAGACGACCATGGCGCCGTGGTCGATCATACCGGGGAGCGCATCCTGGAAAGCGTCGATGGCGGCGGCGAACTTCTCGGGCGTCGTCGTGGGCTTGAGGAGCTGGAACAATGCACCACCGACGGGGGCAGCTGGATAGGCGCGAACGGTCATGCCGACGACGACGCCAAAGGTGCCGCCGCCGCCTCCGCTGAGGGCCCAGTAAAGGTCAGGGTTGACCTTGGGCGAGGCCGTCACGGTGCGTCCGTCGGCGGTGATGACGTGGAAGGACAGGGTCTGGTCAGCTGCCAGACCAAACTGTGTGCTCAGGGCAGAGTGGCCGCCACCCTGGGTGAAGCCGCCGGCGAGACCGACAGTGGCACACTCGCCAGTAACGACAGAGAGGCCTTTGGCGTTGGCAGCCTCAAGGATTTCATAGCCCTGAACACCAGCGCCCACGGAGACAGCAGGACCGGTGTAGTATTCATCATCCCAGTCTACAAAGTCGATCGACTTGAGGTGGTTGGTCCAGATGGCAAGGGCACCAGCACCAGTGGATCGGCCAAGGAAGCTGAGCTCAGTCAGTACATGTGTGAAGTCATAAAAGGTTCATTGACCTGGGTAGAGACATACTCATGACCGGTGTTGCGGACGACAACACGAAGGTTGTTGGCCTTGGCGAACTTCAAAGCCCTCGCCACATCAGACGAGCATTCGACATCAACAGCGTAGCTGACGTAGTTGCCGAGGGTGCAGGGCTTCGCACGGTCTGTGAAGGGGTCACAGCTCTGGTTGGCGAAGTAGGTCTGCATGACTGAAGAGGAAGACGGGATGCTTGGACGGGTGTTAGCGATCCGTGGCACCGCAGGAAAGCTAGTCCCACTGGCTCAGGTCGGACTTACTGGGTCAAGGGGTTCGTCCACTGCGACTGCAGCTGGGCACATGCAGCAGCGTCGTAGGTGGGATCATGGCACGGCGAGCCGATGGGCACAGTAGCCACGAGGCGGCCGCCAACGGTAGAGTTGAACCGAGACCAAGCACTCTCCTTGGGCCAGAACGCATCGCCAGGCAGGCAATAGCATGAGCTGGCTGCAGGAGCGGCAGCAGCGCCCTGGAAAGCAGCCAGGGCAGCGGCCTGGAGAGCGAGAGAGAACTTCATCTTGAACGGCTTGAGTTGGACAAGCGTGTAGAAGCTCAAGATACCTTTTACGGCAACGAAGGAAAGATGGAACAAAAGGAGGCGTCAGGGCCAAGGCGCTACGGCTTAGCTCGACTCGACTCAACTTTTGGTGGGAGAAGATACGGCGGACAGACAGAAGCAACAAGCGAATGTGGTGTGCTTGACGGACTTGACTTGAAGCTTGCAGACGACCTCGACGGGGTTTTATTGCTTGACACAGCGGAGAGGTTTGGACGAACCATTGATTCTTAGACCCCTGGAATCGATGGCGGCAGGGCAGTGTACCGCCTCGGCCCGGAGATGACAGTCAAGTCCGTCCTATGCATTGGTGGTGTTCGTGTCGTTGGTCGTTGGCCGATGGACACCCGTGCCGTCGAGTGGCCTCGTCGCGCACCCCTTCCAGAGCTCTCGGCCGAGGGACGTTATGTGCCAATGCTGGGTGGCCAATCGCTCCGGAGACGATGCCCCAATTCGGAATCGTCTATGGTGCATGCAACATGAGCGGAGGTCTGGGCAATGCCATGCGGGGCGGTCCCTAGCCGACACCTTGCATCTGCCTGCATTACTCCGGCTACTAAGCCTACCTACACGACAGGGATTTCATCCTCCAGCCTCCCACCATCATCGGATGCTTGAGCGACAGTGAGGCAGAGAAAAACACAGTCTCCAGCCGAAGGCAAACCCTGAGAGATGCCCCAGAGAACAAAATCGAATCGATGGAAAGCCAGGCAGCTCGTGATCCACCCGGAATGGAGGTTAAGATTGTCGAAAGTATAACTCACCTTAGCACAATGAATGGGCCTTGCCTTACCATATCAAAGCGCTCAGCGGGGCAGCGGGAGCGAGGATGCGAGGTACCGGGGCAGACGGCTCATGGAAGCCCCTGACTCCGATCGTGCCAACCCGGCGTTAATCCCGATCCATATTGCGTGCCTGCGGGGGGATGGATCTCCCTGAAGACAAGAGAATATTATTTCGCCATCTTCAGTGAGTAAAAGTAGGCGAACCATCGAAATGGCCGGCCACGTATCCGGGGCAGCATTGGCCATTCGCAATTCGCAATCTCATTCGATGAGGGTACGTCCATAGATTCGACAGATTGAACACGACCTGCTTCGGAAAACTCATTCAACAGACAAATGGGCAGATACTTCGTAATGATTTGCTGACTTCTCGGCCATTTCTCCCCTCAGTGGCAGTCAGTAGGAGGCCGCATACCAACCCTAGACTGAATTTGCAGGTGATGGTTCATCCCCTAATGCCGCCCTAGTGTACCATGGATGCAGGGGGTTCCATCAGCCGACCGACCAGGTTCGTCTTCTCCTGCGTGCGAAGATGAAGCACACCGAGTACGATTGCCGGCGAAAGATCCCGATGAAGAAGCCAAGTAGCGGCCGGTCCTATGTATGCGGACCAAGTCCAAGATAGGCATGAGCAAGCTGGACAGCAATCAGTTGCTTCTGTCTGCCCAGGCCTGCCCCAACTGCGCTAGAAGACACACTAAGACAGGCGGCGCGCAATTCGAAGACACAGGCTCTACGCCACCGTGGAACCTTTAATTCTGCTGAGAGATGATGCGAATGGCTGTACCAAACTTCGACCACCTCGAAATGCTCCACCCTGCAGGCTATGGGCCCAGACGGTGGGGACCCAGCGGGAAGAGGTGTGGGAATGCTATACACCATTACCCCTGAAGCAGAAACCTCGGATGTTGAGAACCAGAGGGTGTGGCGAAGCTGTCCAAGCTGGCGAGGCTATTGGCTTGTGTGCTGAAGACTCGAGGTTCCTGCACACCATGCAGTCCATCGAACATGGAATGACTCTCGTGGTGTTTCGTCCGAGCGGCCCGACCTCATTCGGCTTAGCAACGCGCCCTCTTCTCCTTGAGACGTTCGATAGCTGGCATCCCCATCCCGGGAGGCACCCGTCAGGGCTCACCTGTAGTGGAGGCGGCTTGGCAGCTAGGAGGCATGGTGGTTCTGCGCCTTCTGGATTCCGTCTCGTTCCCAGCGCTGTGGTCACTCGTCCTCGTGTCTTCGAACCTCCCACTCGACCGGGGTGTCTTGGATATTGTTCTCGACGAAGAACTGCTCTGCCGATCACATACATTAAAAGGATCGTACCCTGAATTCCGCCCTCGTCGGACACCCACGTCGCCACGTGCGAGTCCTGGATTTTCGGGAAGGAGTGTGCCCCAGGCATAGTTGTGCCCTTCCAACCAACTGCATAACGCTCTCTCTCCCACCAAGATTTTTGTTCACTCCCAAGCACCATCATGTTCTCTCTTCACCGGTTGAGTTCGGCGAGCCGCGCCTTGTTGGCGACGTGCTTACTCCTTGTGCTTCTGCCAGCCGTCTTGGCACAGGCAACATCAAATCCCTTCCCTGCTTGCGCGGTATGTCTCGTTTCTCGTCTCTCAAAAGCCATCGTGGTACTAATACGCCGACGTGAAGACGCGCTGCATTGGCAATGCCTTCCAAGAGGGCCTGTGTGCACCCACAAACCAGACATGCATCTGTACCAACCAGCAGTTCCAGGGCACCGTTGCTCTCTGTGTCCAGCAGAGCTGCACCATTCCTGAGTCTCTAGGTGCGTTGTTGGTGCAAAGATGCTTGAATTATCTTGCAAGATGCCATACTGACCCTGCACCAGCTACTCGCAATGCGAGCTTGACAAATTGCGGCGCCCCTGTCCGCGACCGGTCGGGCAAGTATGTCGTCCTCTCCAATACCATGGCCATCATTGCTGCCATCTTCGTCGTCCTCCGATTCGGCCTTAAGCTTTTCATCGCCCCGAGTCCTCTTGGCCTTGACGACTGGTTCATCCTTTTGACGCTCCTCGTCGCTACACCCTCGGCCGTCATCACCGTCTATGGAACCACGGCCAACGGTCTTGGGAAGGATATTTGGACGCTCGATGGTCACATGATCACAGCGGTCGGCCGCTACTTTTATATCATGGCCTCGCTCTACTTTACGCAGCTTACCTTGCTCAAGCTCTCCATTATCTTCTTTTACACCCGCATCTTCCCGGCCCGCGAGGTACAACGCCTCCTCTGGGGCACCGCCATCTTCACCGTTTGCTATGGCGTCGCCTTTGTCATCACGGCAATCTTTCAGTGCCAGCCCATCCACTACTTCTGGACCAAGTGGGACGGCATGCACGAAGGGAAGTGCCACAACGCCAACACGATCAGCTGGACCAACGCCGCCATCAGTATTGCCCTGGACTTATGGATGCTTGCCATCCCGCTCTGGCAGCTCCGCAGCCTCAAGCTCCACTGGAAGAAGAAGGTCGGCGTTGCCATGATGTTTTGTGTCGGCACTTTCGTCACGGTCGTCAGCATCTTGCGTCTGCAATCGCTCGTTCATTTCGCCTCCACGAATAACACGACTTGGGAATTCTACGACGTGTCGGTCTGGTCGACCATTGAGATCACCGTCGGTATCATGTGTGCCTGCATGCCCGCTGTTCGTCTTCTCCTGGTGCGCTTCTTCCCCGCTCTTGCAGGCTCCTCAGCACGCAGCCGCGGAGCCATGTACTACGAGTATGGCAGCGGACCTCGCTCGAAGACAGCGGGCACACGCAATGGCACCCGCACGGGAACGACCGTCGGTGTGTCTACGTCTGGCGGGCACTCTCCCGACCTCAAGCTCGGAAGCGGCGGCGGCATCGTCACGCAAAAGTCATACGATGTGCAGTACAGTGATAATGACGAGGCGAGTTTGGTCCACATGAGCGATCTACCGCCAGTGGCCAAGAGGCCTTGATTTTGACGGGCTTGATATCTGGGTAGCTAGGCGTTCTGCGTTTGTGTTTTTTTTTTGTCTTCTCTGTTCACGATGAGAGCCGAGCGATAGACTCTCCTGACCAGCAAACAACAATTGTACCACCATAGTAGTCAGGTAGCAGAAACTTGCTCCATCCATCCGCACCAACAGTCCCACCTGAAGATCGTCACTTCGTGTTATGGGGCCATGCCAATCATTGCTCCAATATTATGTTGCTTCGTGCGTCACACCGTTGCTCTCAACCACGACTACCGACCTCTAGTCAAATCAGACGTCATGCCCGACTCTCCGAGACCCAATCCCGAAGTCCTTCCATGCCTATGGATGGCTGGTCGCGATCAGACCCCTTTTCTTTGAAATGACAGCCATCACTGTGGACCTTTCCCTTCCCGCCTGACCAGCCGACTCTCCTCAACCCCAGGTATCCGACTAGCTCGGTGACGGTGAGCGCCATTCCGCCTCCGTCGACGGCCTGGCGCCGCCTTACTACCAATAGCGCGCACTTCGACCCTCACGCAACGGCCCTACGGGTTTAGGACGCTGTCGAAAAGGGGTGGATGCTACTCCCGTCACTTTGCAGTGTACGTTGGATCGACAGCGCTTGGCGTTCATGGTGCCGAGTCTCGGGAGTGCAGGAGTCCGTGGGTTCAGATTTCGTCGCACGCTCCGCAGCAACGCCAGCGCACAATCACGGTTAGGGCGCCGTCCTGCTCCGCTGCCCTCCAAGCAACGTCAGCGACTGTTCGCTTGTTCGCTGGCACTGCGAACGCGCTGTGCCGGGGCAGCGGAAGAGATTGTGCGTTCCAAGAGTGGGATTCGCCGATGTTGCAACTACAGAACGTGGTCCAGTTGCCGTTTCCGGTTCTTTGGAAATGCCTCTGCCCCGTGTCCCGTAGGATTGCGACCAGGGGCCCTGCAGCAAGGGACAAGCCACCTGACGTTCCAGACTCCTGTTTTCTTCCAGGGTCCTCAACAAACCCATGTGTTTTACCCATGTTTTGCACACACGCAGATCTAAGGCGTGCCGAACGGGCTGGGGGATCTTATTTACATCATACCCATCACACCACATCGTATCGGTTCGACAGCCACTGGAAAGCCATTCGTGTTTCATCAGCTGCCGGCCTACCGAGCAGGATCAGTGCATGCTGCAGGAAGATGAACTGTCTCTCATTTTCCTCGCGCAGCCTCGTCTACACAATCGCTTCTCCCCGCGCCCCAGACTCACGGGCCCTCCCTCAAGCGCCCACGTTCTCCTGGACAAGCACATTCGTTGCTGACACGGTCGGGACGAGTCAGCTCCCGTCTGACCCCACTACATCATCGTCTTCTGGAAATGACAGTTTGTGACCTTCACTTCCCCGGTGAACTAATCACGTCTTCCAGAGCGCCAGCATGAATCGCGCTGGCTGTACTGTACCACACTACCACTTTCCCATGAGTGGCGAGGGTGGTTGCATACTCTAATTAAGTTAAGACTGAGGAACAACGACTCGAGATACTCAGACGCCTAGTTTGATAAGCTTCTGCTTGTCGTCAGGGGCAGTCTGTCGGGAATCTGCTTAGGCTGAACCTTAACATCTGCCGAAGCGTGCTTGTCTCAACCACACGCCGCATGGCTGACTCGATCAGGTAAGTCTTGCTGCCACGCTGCCAGATCGAGTGGCCTTGGCAAGCTTAGTGAAGACACTTGTCTCTCAAAAGACCAATAGTCACGGAGCTCTAGCATCTCTTCAGATGAGGCCGTGGTCATGCGCAGCAGCTGCACGTCGTCTCCCACGAGGGTCCGCCGTTCATGACTAGCTAAAAGGTCTCACCATGGCCGTTCAGATTTCAAATAAGTCCGATGCATTTTTAGTTCGGCGTATAGATTCACGGAGTTTATGGAGCTGAAGCCTGTGCCTTTTCAGCGTCAACTAAGATTCCGCAGGTCTCTCGAAGATGGCCCTCTCGCTCGCATCCTCAGCCGGGACTTGGGAGTTGGCCGCATATTCATACCATGAGCAAGTCTCGCATCTACGACTTATACAGTAAGGTCGTTTTTGTGTCTTTCGGGTACTGTTTTCTTTTTCGCGTCTGCCGTCCAGCAGAGCGCCTATCGTTCGCTCGCGGACGCCAGTCTCAACTGAGTCACAATTTGAATCTGTGTGCTTTGAAGCACTTCCGGCTCTGGATTGTCACCTTGCTCTCTTAGTCGGTAGCCATTCGTCCAAAGAAGTTGTTTTGCTTTTAATACCACCGTAGGAGTCAAGTATCACTCATCTCGGAACTTTTCGATATAAATCCATGGCATAGGAATCCTTGAGCCGGCAGTCTGATAGTAGGAGGCGGAATATACCCGGACAAAGGGCTTAGGTGACTCGGCCCAGATCTCCGGCCACTGATGCCGGCCGAACGCCTCTTACTTAGCGGCAGGAGGAGTATGACTTTGTAACAGTGCTGCAAACCATCGGACCGTCACCATAGAGGAGGCTCTTGAATTGCGATTATAATTTGCGCCTGGTCGGTGTTCGGCGACAATTTGACACCAATGATTTTTGCTAGGTTCGTCATCATCTCGAAGTGATCTGCAGTATATGGTGCTTTAGCCAAATTTCATGGCGTTTGGGTCATGAGACATGACGGCGATATTTCGTACTTAGCAATGCTAATGGTAAGCTACAAAACATCAGAAGTGGTAGCCACGCACGTTCAAGGTGGTGTGGCGAGATAGCTTTGGCATGTGTAAATCTCTTGAAATTCAGTCCGTCGAAAGTTTTGACAGGCCTGTAGGTGGTATTTGGGCTTAAATCCTTCAATATAGGTCTATTCAAGGAGCCACCCAACTTGGCCAAAGATATAACGAACAATTTATCATCACCTAGAAGCAGCGCTTGACATTAGTGCAAGGCAATCACTCGCTATAACTCCTAAATAATACACACGCCGATTTACTTGTCATGTCGGGCCTTGCTGCTTCGAAAATGCATCCTCCTCCCCGAGGTGTCTTTTATGTCATGACTTAGTGACATAACGCAGGGAAACGTGGCGGCGAGACCTTGGTATTCTGTTTTCCTCTTCTATATTACATGCTTTATGTATCAAGCTTAAAAAACTCTGTGACGGAGCGAGAGAAATCTACAACTTGCTCACAATGCCGTAACAATTCGTCATTCCATCGTCACTAGGGCTGCTGAAAACTGAAGAGGTTATAAATTCTTACTCCTGGAGGTCCGTGTGGAGAACGCACATGACCATTGAAACCGAGTGAAGGAGTCTAATGAAGTGGCGTGACAATATCTCAGAAGAAAGCAATGCGTCTGGCTTCATCGCAGCACATGTGTCAGGAGATCCCGGCAGAGCCACGGCACAGGGGTTAGCGTCAGTGCTTGATTTGGGTCAGGGTGAAGAGGTCGTCTACACGTAGTCCGCAGGCAATAGAATATAGGTAAGGGGTTCGAATACATCTGAATTCTGGCCCTCCGCAGCCTATATATACGTTCTCTCGTAGCCCTTAGCCCCCTGACCGGCTCCTTTGCTTGGCGGCCGCTGGCGGCTCCGTAGGGTGGCCTGACAGGAAGACAGGGCGGTATGCTAGGTGCATTACTTCAAAGAGAAGTTTCAATCGACTATTGACGACATATCGTCAAAACGTAACTTATTTCAACGACCTTCGAGTCAATTCAATGCGTCAGAGCGTGGTTTGGGCAAAGCAAGAGGTCTTCTACACATGGTCCACAGGCAACAGACAATAGGTATGGGGTTGTCATACATCTGAATTCTGGCCCTCCGCAGTCCTAATATACACGTTCCAAAAGTTCTGAGCCCCGGGCCAGCCGCCTGTTCCGTGACTACATAGGGCCACCCGACACAGTGGCTCAAGAACAAGGGGTGTATATGCGGCGAGGGCATCTTTCAATGGACACGTGCTTTAGTCTAAGCTCGAATGGTTTCAACAACATCTTGTCAAATTTTGACTGTAAATACTCATCGATGTTTCGTGTGCCGAGATTCATAAAAGGCTGGCTTACTTGGAGATCATGATATTGATGAGAAGTTCTTCTATGAGATTTCTGGATGTTACCACATGTGCTTGGCATGAGAAAGAGGCTAGGACGTATTAGGGGTTTAATCATGATACCTTCAGTCATGAGTAAAACTCATCCTTCTGCTTACCCCTGAATAACATTCTTGATTGCTTGAGCTTACCTTGTGCATCGTGATTTAGCAATTGACATTCACTGCCTATCTATTTATTTACTGAATGGGACCAAATGTCAGTATCCGCAACTGGCAGGCCCTGACGCAGATCCTTTGTAAAATGCATTGCATTTAGCCTATGCGGTTTTCGTAAGCCTGCTGTTCGATGTCGGTCGCATGCAAGGACATGCAGTATGACGAAGTGAGATGCGTGGCTCGTATTGGTGCCCGATCTACCTATACGCCCAAAGCTCATCTCTCGTCTATTAAATTCGCCTTGAATCGCCGACCCCGAGTTGAAAAGTTCAGCAATTCCTCAACCATTCTGGTTACTAGACCTCAATCAACAGTGCCAGACATGGCCGCCATGAACTCGACGGTAAAGACTACCGACGTTCCCATGATAACAGTTTGGAGCACAGTCAGCTCTCTTCGCGACTCGCCCACGTACGGACTCAGCATTCTTTTAGTCGCACCAGCTGTCGGATTCTTCATCTGGTTTCTTGTCTCCTACCAATTATCGCCATTGAGGAGATATCCTGGGCCGCTCCTTGCAGGTATTGTTCTCCGACATGGAACATCCTCTTTCCAATTCTTCGCGATTCTGCGATTAAAAAATAGATAGATGAATGCTGCATATGTATATTACAGGACTGACATGGCTTAGGTGTGACAAATTTATGGCGCTTCTGCCAGGCGATATCAGCCGACTATGCACCGCGGATCAAAAGGCTTCACGAAAGATACGGTCCCGTCGTCCGAATAGGTCCAAACCTACTGGACCTTGACATCCCTGAGCTTTCGAGAACGATCTACAGTACCGACGGAAAGTGGAAGAAGGTAAGTACACGTAACACCGAGCCAGATGACGTTGTAAATCGGCTCATTTTGCATTGGGAGTTAGACCGACTTGTATAAAATCAGCAGCTCCGTTGTCGATGGGAAGATCACGTACCACATGTTCAGTGAAGTAGACAACATTTTGCATGCCCGCCTGAAGCGCCCAGTTGTGCGCCATTATTCCGTCCCGAGCGTGCTGACCATGGAACCACACATGAACGAGGTTGTCGAAACATTCTGCGACCACCTTCAGGAGCGCTTTGTCAACCCCGGAATACTATGCGACTTTGGGGACTGGCTGGCATACTGTTAGATGAGCCTGGTGATTCCCCATCAATCGCGTTGGCCATACTGACGAGTCGGCAGTTGCCTGGGATCTTCTAGGAACCGTAACATTTAGCAAGAAGTTCGGTTACATGGAGGAGGGTCGCGACTTCGACGGAACTCTTGCGATCGCTGACCAGTCTATTGATTGTCTTGGGATTTGTGGTCAGATGCCCTGGCTCGATCATTGGCTCGACAAGAATCCCATCTACGCATTGGGGCCGCCCAACATTTCTAACGTGACAAGAATCGCCATTGAGGCTTTGACGGCCCGGCTCGCAGGAGAGAATGCAGCGTGCACCAATGAAAACCCGGACTTTCTCCATTACTTCATCGAATCCAAGACATCACATCCTGAGATTGTAGACGAATCTACAATCATTGGGTACCTCCTGCTGAACCGTCAGTCACCCACGCCGATGGTGAGACATGCATGAGCTTATGCTGACACCGCGCGACAAGTGATCGCCGGAGCCGACACGACAGCTATTACCATGAAGGCATTGTTCTACTACTGCCTCAAAGACCCGCGTGTATGGAAGCGGCTAGAGTCCGAAGTCCGGGAGCATGTCTCTCCAAACACACCGTGCTCCCATGCAACGGCCCGCGCCCTCCCTTACCTCGAGGCCACAATTCGCGAGACACTCCGCTATCATCCTGCCGTGTCAATGGGTCTGGAGAGAATTGTTCCTGAGGGCGGTCTGGCCCTTCCAGACGGCACCGTCGTTCCAGCAGGAACTTTTGTCGGCATGAATCCATACATTGTGGGACGCAATAAGGGAATGTTTGGTGCCGACGCTGATGAATTCCGCCCAGATCGATGGCTTCAGGGCGAAAACGAGAGCGGAGAGGCTTACAAGGAAAGGATGCGACTCTGGAACGCGGCGAACTTGGCCTTTGGTGGGGGCTCACGTATCTGCCTGGGACGACATCTTAGCCTCATGGAGGTGTACAAAGTCGTGCCCTCTGTCATTTCGAGGTTTGATGTTGATCTTGCTGATCCGAATGAGCAGTGGTGGACGTGCTCAAGGTGGTTCTACCGCACCAAAGGCATCGTGTGCAAGCTCAAGGCAAGGAGAAACAGCAGGGCGAGTAATTCCCCTCCCGCGCTACGAGAGAATGAATGACATCATGTCCCCTGCGTGGATGAGACGGGGCGCGATGACTCCGTGCAAGTGTGCAATGGGATGCCTCTAAGCTGGCCTTGTTCCTTCTCCTCAGGCCAAATGCCGGCGCCCCTATGGTGCAAAATGAAGGATGAGGATTGCTTCATCGGGACATTCCGTGGCCATGCTGCTTTGAGGTCCTCATGGTGAAGTTTTCGGAGTTTACGTCCCATCGCGATCGTGGAGCTGAATTGACAAAGTTGACGGCGCGGGCCAAACAAGGTTATTGCTGTCACGATTGCGCGAATTAATCGTCACCAGATGCCTCGCGCCATCTAGACCAAGGTTCAAGGGCTCCGAACGAGCTGTTTGCGTCTCAGAAGCTACGCCGTTTGGTTGCTTCTCCTCAGGGGCAATATGCAACGGGGCGAAAAAGAAGCTTTATTATGGTGCTATGGGGGCAACTGTCGAGCCTCAATCCGCATCATCTCCCGTGGAGTGGATTCCAAGGTTTTTTATTCGCGCGGGGGTCAAGAAGAAATGAGAAGGCTGCCATGGCGCTGCGTCCGTTTGCATTTGTTTGCTGCAGAGGCTTAATCTCTGACATCGGAGACTCGGGCACAAGCGCGGGCACTGCAGGTAGCCGCCCGGTGGCTTGCGCAAAACGGCGCCATCTGAATCAAGTCACCGTCGTAGCGATGACAGAACTATACCTAGCGTGCGGTGTTTTCTCCCTCTTTTCACCGTGTCTGCGGTGAAGGGTGCTGAGTCGTTCGGCCGTTTGCGACGACGAGGCTCGACGGAAAGGCGTCATGATGTGGTACGGGCCGTCGCAAACGGCCAAGAAGTCTGGACCAGCCACAAGAGCTGAAGTGCCTGAGGTAGGGTAGGGTAAGGTAATGCACCCCTAGGGAGGCATTCCTAAACTGCCGCCCAGCTCTAGCTCGCGAATCGCGCCCTCCTGCATTTCCCCTGCAATTTGGCGCCACGCTCCTTGCCGCCCCCCTTACATTCCATCCGTCATCGTGAGAAATGTCCGTCAAGAGAGAGCATGGCCTCGACTCACGGCTCAAAATCTGGCAGGAGTATTTAGGCTTGCCTGTCCCGCTCACCATGTGGCTATGGAAATTCCCCGATATCGACAACCTGGGGTTGACTTTGCAGATCACTTTCTACATTCAGATCACTTTGACGCACATTACCCGCGCCTAAGCTCAAATAAGCTCTTAGCACGGATTACCTCAGCTCGAGCTACTGGTAGCTCTCAGATCCCCCACGATGTGGACGCGTACTCTTTCTCCCCTCAAGCCCTGCGCTCTGCTTGCCTTGGCAGCTTCCCTCATCATGTCTACCGAAGCCTTCCCCGTCGAAGAGCGAGCAGTCGTCGCGAAGAAGCCTTGGGTGCCGGCCATCGGCACGACGTGGCAGATTGTGCTCAACGCGCCGCTCAAGATTGATCCCAAGAAGCCTGTCGTCACACCCGACGTTGCCGTCTACGACATTGACCTGTTCGACAACACGGCCGAGACCATCGCGGCGCTGCACAAGCTCAACAAGAAAGTCATCTGCTACTTCAGCGCCGGAACCTACGAGGAATGGCGGCCAGACGCCAAAAAGTTCGCCAAGGCCGACTTTGGCAAACCCATGGACGACTGGCCAGGTGAGCGCTGGCTCCAGATCAAGAACCCCAATGTCCGGAACATTATGGCCCAGAGGATCAAGCTCGCCGCCGACAAGGGCTGCGACGCCATCGACCCCGACAACGTAGACGGTTATGTGAGTCTTTCCCACTCTAGGGTGTATGCTGTATGGTCCATCGACTTACACCGTGCTGCAGTCCAACAACAACGGCCTTGGTCTCACAAAGGCCGACACGATTGATTTCGTCAAGTTTCTCTCCAGCGAGGCGCGCAAGTACGGTCTCAGCATCGCGCTCAAGAACGCTGGCGAGATCATCCCTCAGGTCATCAAGTTTGTCGACTTTCAGGTGAACGAGCAGTGCGTCAAGTACAACGAGGCCAGCACCTTTGCGGCCTTCATCCAGGCCGGCAAGGCCGTGTTTCACATCGAGTACCCCGACGGTGCGCCGGGCTCTGTGAGCTCCAAGGCCAGGTCGTCCATCTACGCCGCTCCCGGGACGGAGAAATTCAGCACGCTCATCAAGACGATGGATCTCGACGGATGGGTGCAGACTCGCGACGGTAAGCAGTACACCACCAAGACTGGGTACTGATCGGCACGGGATGCCGTAGTTGCGGGCAACTTTGTACGCCAATTTTCTCTTGTATGTTTATGAGCAATGATTATGATTACCCTTTTGTATATATCGATATTTTCGTGTCGCTCTCGTGCTTGAATACGAGCTGGTGACTGTGTTTGTGTGGCTGGGTATGTTAGGAGGTATTGATAACAGCAACATGTACCACGCTGGGAAAAAAAGGCGAGGGGCTTCACACCTTGCAGTCATGGCGACTCAAGCTTCAAATCAAACATTGTATCGAGAACCCACCAAGTGTCCCTGCACCTACATTTTCATGCGAGACAGAATACACTGCAGGGAAATGTACGCTTTGGGCCAGATTTCAATTGAAAGTGCCTCTTAAGATATGTACTCGAAGAAGATGAATGCCCAGCATCTACTCGTCCCAAATGGTAGCAACGACAGCACCAGTGAGCAAAACCTCACCGACCTTGCCGCCATCCTCCTCAAGCACGATCTTGCCAGACCGGACATCGCGCTTCCAGATGGTCACGGTACGGTTGTTCTGGTGACCGACGGCAACAAGGGTACCGGCCTTGTTGAAGGAGAACTGGCGAGGCGACCATCCGCCCGAAGGAGCGAGCTGAACGAGCTTGAGGGTGCCGTCCTCCTTGATGGAGAACGTGGACAGGGTGTCCGAGGGGCCGGTGCCGAGGATGGGGGAGTCGCGGAACGACTTCTCACGGTTGGACACAGTGAGGAAGCGGCCGTCAGGCTGAAGGACTTTGTCAGCTTGATGTGAAGAGGTGGACTGCGGGGGGGGGGATCTCACGCTCAGAGCGATCTCGCTCGTGGGAGCCCTGGTGGCAGGCAGCGCGGCATCGATGGCCGGGGCGTCAAAGACATGGGTAAAGACAAGACCGGCAGCAGTGTACTCGACAGAGTACGAGTAGACCTTCTGGTCAAGCTCGCCGTTGAAGAAGAAGAAGGTCTTCCCGTTGCGGGCCTTGCGGAAGAAACCGTGGCGGGGACCGGAGCCGGGCGGGGCCGTAAGTCCGGCCACCTCGACGATAGGAGCGACTGTCACAGGGTCGTACGTGTAGACGCGAACACGGTCACCGCCAAGATCAGGAATGAGCACATACTCATTCGTGGGGTCAATGATGACGTGGTGAAGGTAGCTGCGGTCCTGGCGCAGGGTGACAGGGCCTGTCTTCTCGAGTGTGGGGTTGATCACCTGGACGGGGCCCGTACCAGGAAGGGCGCCATCGTCGCCAAGTGCAAAGACGGCAGCGGCACTGCGGTTGCTGTGGGGAAGAAGCAGATAAGCTTCAAGCTCGGAGGGCTCGGCTCGGGAGATGATGGGAAGCGACTTCGGCGCTTTGGCCCGTCAATTAGGGGGGGAAAGGTGGACTCACTATGAGGCCGAGATGTAACCCCGAGCACCAGTAGAGGTGGTCAAGATCTCACCAGCGACTCCGCTGAGAGGGGCACTGACACGCGCAATACGAGACAACAGACCGTCTTCTCCAATGGAGAATGAGTTAAGGGAACCGGAAACAGAGGAACCGGCACCGCGGTCGTAGCAGTACAGCACTCGGTTGGGCCCGTCAAGCGTCAGCCAGGAAGGGTTCACCTCACAATCGGCCGTCTTAGAGGTGACAGAAAGAGTGTAATTATTGCTGCAGCCAGTGAGGGAAAGAGTCGTCACGTTACCCCCCGAATCAGCGGCGAAAAGAGTGACAGCACCGGCCGAAGCCCAGAGGGCCGAGCCGGCAAGAAGGGACTGAAGGGATGAACGCATGGCCGCTGCTGTGAATATGTTTTGCCCGCGCAGTGAATGAGCGTGAAGTGTGAGAAGAAGGCGTGTCCTGGCCTGAACTTTCAGACGACAACTCGACGAGCAGCGGATCCCTTTTTGAGAGTTTGCCAAGGGGCACAGGGATGACGAAGCCTCATCTCCAGGAAATGTCACGACACTCTCAACAACGATCAGTGAGTCGCAGCTATATGCAGGCCGAGTAGTTGTCTGCCAGGAGGGGTCGGAAAAGACTAGCAAGGAAGTGTCGGATAAGTTGCATATTGAGTACGTTTACCGAGCATGCCGACACGAAAGATTTCAGGGGTAGACAAATGACTCGTCACCAAAGTAGCCCCAAAGTGCCGCAGTCGTCTGCAGGTTGACAAGTCTCGGTTGCGCATGAGGCAAAGCAGCACTAAGGTCTGCCCATGAGGCCATGGAACCCATGCAAGTGGAGTGGACGGACCACATAGCGCCCCAATGGCGCAGACCATGCCAGATATGTCATGAAGACCAGTAGGGTTTCCAAGCTTCCCCAAGAGCTTATTATTCTAATCTGTACCGAATGGGGCTCCTGGGGCTCCTGGGGCCGAATTCAGGTCTTGGCCCCGAGGGCTGTGCGAAGCCTCACGGTGGGATATGCTTGCTCAAACGAGCCACGCGCCCCGTCCCGGCGTTCCGATTAAGGTAGGTTGATCTGATAAAGTTCAGATCATCCCAAGTCCACTTTGTCTGCCGGGACAACAAAACATCCGCCGACAAGGGTTCTGAGAAGCTTTGTAAGAGGCGCCAGGTGGTTTGAGGTCCTTTTGCGCATACAGAACGATGGCCCGAAGTACCGAGACTCGATCAAGGCGCAAAAGTGCCAAGACTCCTGGATCATACCTCTAAGATTGTCGTCAGTCCTTCTCTCGATGCTCACCAGTTATAAGTAGGTCGTCCGTACGATTGTGGCTTATCCTGAAGTTTCTGGAACACCACGGCACTTGCTTTCTTGTTCCTTTCGCAGTCTCCTGCCTTTGCCCACAACATCATCAGTTATGGACTCCACTTTCTCTCTTCGACGCTTGGCCGTCGCCTCGCTCCTTAGCCTGGCCCCTTCGGCCGTGTCTGCCCAGACAGACAAGTCGGCCGCTCTGCAGTCTTGCCTCACCACTGCGGGCGTTCGCTCCATCGTCAGCAGCGACACGACATGGCCTGATCAGACTCTCATGTTCCAGAAGCGCCTGACTGCCGCCCCTGCCGCTATCTCGTTCCCTGAGACCCGCGACCAGGTTGCTTCTTCCCTCGCCTGTGCCCGGGAGTCCTCCGTCAAGGCCGTCGCTCTGGGAGCTGCTCACTCTTTCACCGGTTTTGGTTATGGCAACGCTGGCAATCTCGTCATCAACCTGTCTGCCTTTGACGAGGTCAGCTATTCCAACTGCTCCGACACGCTCACCTTCGGTGGTGGCACGCACGTCGGCCCCGTTCTGAAGTATCTCTGGGACAACCATGGTCGCCACATCCCCCACGTCCGTGGCGCTCACGTCGGTGTGCCCGGCTCTTCCATCGGCGGAGGCTTCGGCAGCACCTCGCGCCACTACGGTACTCCTATGGATAACATTGTCGGCGTCGAGTACATGCTGTACAACGGCACCGTCGTCAACGCCACCCACGAGTCCGACCTTCTCTGGGCCGCTCAGGGTGCCGGCGCCTCCTTTGGTGTCATCCTCTCCATGACCACCAAGACCTTCAAGCCCGAATTTGCCGATGCTACCAGCTTCACCATCAACCTCGGCAACCTGGGCCTCAGCGACGCGACCAAGGCCCTCGTCAAGGTCCAGGACTACGCCCTTGCCGAGACCACCCCTGATGAGCTCGCCATCCGCTGGAACCTGGCCGCTGGCACCTCTGCCCAGGGCTACTTCTACGGCAACCCCACCGCTTTTGACACTGTCATTGCACCTCTCCTCAAGGAGCTCAGGACCATCAACAGCACTCTCGCCTACGCCAAGACTGTCCTCCCCTTCTGGGACATGGAGGTGTCCGTCGCTGGCGCTGGCATGAACTCCCCCACCGGTGGTGCCCTCGGCGGTCGCCACTTCTACACCCAGGCCGTCACCACGACCTATGACAACCCCCTGACCGTGCCTCAGATCACTGCCCTGCTCAACGTCACGGGCAACAACTTTGCCCGCACCGACATGCGCCAGGGTGGTTTCCTCGACCTCTGGGGCGGCATCTCGCGCGACATCTCTGACGCCGACACTGCCTACGCGCACGGCGGCAACCTCTGGCTCATCCGCGTCGACGGCACCTCGATCAACACCAGCACCCTCCTGCCCGCCGATGCCCTCACCTACATGAAGGATATCCTCCTGCCCTTCGAGGACGCCCTCACCAAGGGTGGCGTGCCCCTGCGCGGCTTCGTCAACTACGCCGACTCTGAGCTCCCCGAGGCCGAGTGGAGCGCCCGTCTCTATGGCGAGGAGAACTACAACCGCCTCAAGCAGATCAAGAGGGCTGTTGACCCCGAGAACCTCTTCACCAACCACCGCCAGTCCATCAGCACTTGAGGTGCAGGATTAAGGTTTCGATCATGACCACCCAATATCTTTTCTTCCAACCCAATTTTTTCTTGTACATGTTAGGATCTGAACAAAGTTCGCGGAGCAACCAAAATTGAATAGCCTTGAATTGGAACATGCAGCCACAAAACTTTGCCCCCTTTGCTTGACGTGCTGCTGGCTTTTCCGAATCCACGGATCGTAACGTGTGGTTCAATCTGTCACAATTTGGGCAGATTGCGTCTGCCGAAAAGGTGCCAGAAAAACCTTGGTGTCCCGGCAGGCAAATTGCGTGCATTGGCGTAAAAGTCTAACCCACGAGGTAACGTTGGCCCTGTAAATGACGACCTGGGCTCGTACAGTAGAACTCCTATCGAGCGAATGCGGCAAGCCGGGAAGCCCAAAGCAGACAGACACGACGCACACATAATCGGCGGCCGCTCAATCCTCATGGCTCCCACCCCACGGAAGTGTCAGTTCCTTCGAGACGTGGCCTACCCAATTGCAGTGCGGCGTTGATGATCCGGAAGCACCTCTTCTGGAAGGTCAGCTGGTGTCTAGACTCCCTACCCAATGTGGGGGGCATGAAGCCACCCCTGGACGCCCTGGACGCCCTGGACGCTTGTCTGCAGGGAACATGCAGGGGATTTCTTCAACGGCGCGCCCCTTTGTCAGCATGACTGAGGGTGCTTGGCGATGAATCCAGACTCGCTGCTCTGAAACGAAGTTGGGAGATTCACGAGATGAAGATGAGCGTCGCGCCTTGCGTCCCACATTCGAAGACGGGGATCTGCGAGGCAGCTTCCTCCCTTGATCGAACCGCCCGATCTCAGATGCTATCCAGCATGTGAAGAAGGCGGGCGACCTTGGCCAAGGTCGCATCGCCCATGACAATGTGGTATCACTCGGCAAGTCGGCACAGTCGTGTGCGAAAGGATCACCATTGCTTTTCCGCTTCGTCGTCCGTCGTTCCTAGACGTGCGCGTATCCTGCATACTTGTCTACAATCATGGTGAATTGGTGTTCCAGTTAGGGTCGCTCTCCCTCTCTCGTCCTCATCCCGTGTGTCACGCATCATGCATGCCCAGAGATGGCCTTGGGCTGGTACAGCTCCTCGAGGTACTTCTCCTCCTCCTCGGACAGACTCTTGCCCCGCACCGACAGCGCCTGGTCCAGCCTCTCGACGCTGCTGAAGCCGATGATGGGGCTCGCCACGCGGCGGTTGATCCACGCGAGCGCGACATGCGCAATGGCCCAGCCGTGCTTATCCGCCAGCTCGACGACGCGGCCGACGATCTCGCGGTCCCGCTCCGACGTGCCGCTGCCGCCCGTCTGGCCCGCCTTCTCGGCCCGGCTCCGGTCCGTGCTGCCAAAGTCCTCGGGCCTGCGCGCCAGGTGGCCGCGGCACAGCGGCGCCCACGGGATGAGCCCGACGCCCGTGTCGTTGCAGAACCGGTTCATCTCGCGCTCCTCCTCGCGGTACAGCAGGTTGTACTGGTTCTGCATGCTGACAAAGGGCGTCCAGCCGTTCTTCTCGGCGACGAACTGCAGCCGCGCAAACTGCGTCGCCCACATGCTGCTGGCGCCGATGTAGCGCACCTTGCCCGACTGCACGAGGTCGTGGAGCGCCTTCATCGTCTCCTCGAGCGGCGTGCGCGCATCGAAGCGGTGGATCTGGAGGAGATCGATGTAGGCCGTGTCGAGGCGTTGCAGGGACGCCTCGACTTGGTTGAAGAGGGCGGTGCGCGAGAGGCCGAAATTGTTCTGGTAGTCTTTCGAGGCCTCAAACTCGGCGCGGTTGACAAAGTGACGGGCCTCTGGTGCTTGGTCAGACAGGGTCACTCGCACTTCACAGCAGACTGGTGACCTACCGGGCTCCTCTCCAACGGCCCAGTGGGCCTTGGTCAGGATGACGACCTTGTGGCGGGGAATGTTGTACTTCTTGATAGCCTTGCCTACAATGACCTCCGAGGCGCCGTTGCTGTAGACGTTGGCCGTGTCCCACGTGTTGAGGCCGCGGTCGTAGGCCGCCTTGAGCAGAGGGAGAGCCTCGTCCTCGCCGATGACCCACGGAAGAGTCCTCTTGTCGCCGAAGCTCATACATCCGAAGATAGGCACAGAGACACGGAGGCCCGACTTTCCAAGCTGGCGATACTCAGCTTTGGAGTTCTCCAGAGACTCTTTGAGACCGGCCGGAAGCTGCTTCGACATGGTGGGCGTTGGCTTGGAGCCTTTGATATAGGAGACGGGTTGATATGGGACGAGCACTAAACACTCGCTATTGCGTTGGACAAGATGCAGATGGGTGAGGAAGATGGACGAACTTGAGAGGAGAGCTTCAGAATAAGAGCTCCGAGAATAGAGCTGACACGACCCCGCACCTTTTGTCTGCCCCTCACGGCCGTCAAACGTCATCAACGCCTGAGCTGCCGCAATGTGGGGCCGCGTCTGCGGTTGCCGGAAGCTCACGCCCGGATCACCAAGCTCGGTCTCTGCCATGACGATCCGATCACATGGCTTTTGTCTCGATTGCCTTGGATGGTTGTGGCCTGGATTGAAATATTCCGACAAAGTTGTGCAAATTTAGTGCTGTGCAACACGCCAGAATCATCGCCGAAACTATCACTGGATGCCGGGCTTGGTGGGGCCGTCCCCGGACGGTTGGTGTTTTGCCCGGAAATATGGGCTCGAGTACGCAAGAGACGGAATAATTCACAACGGAAAAGCAATCACTAATCGAATTCTTATCAGAGTCTAAAGCAATGGCAGAGAGTGTGGCATTAATTTAGAAATTTTCCGGCCATCCATCTCAGCCCTATGCCCACTACCGGAGGTCCCATGGTTCTCGCTCAGGAGCAGAACCTTGCCCCTGAGCCTGCAGCCGGTCGTTTCAAGCCTCAGCCCTCGCCTTGAGGCACGTGGTGCCCCTGGAGCTATGAGAAATTGGAATTCCGTCTGAGCACGGTGCTTAGCCTTGCCATCGTACTACAGGCAGACTAAGGTCATGGTGGTGGCCTGAGTTTGGCGAGGTTACCACTCGGATGGATGACGGGCTGGCCCTGACCAGTCCTTCACTTGCCGCAGCTACATGTGAGGATCCCAATCACCAATTCCGACCACCTCGGCAATCAAAGTCCATCAGAGTCTCGGTGCTGTCGGCGTGTTGCCCCCGGGTGACTGCAGGCGGCTAAATAGGGAGGCGAACCACCCAAGGGTCCCGTGCCCCGCATGAAACAGCGGCACTAGAAAGTAAGAGCTATATTGGAAGTTTTTTTTCCGTGTTGGGAGTTGTATGGAACTGGTCCGTGGGCATAAATCGCCCTTCGTACAAGCGCATAGCTCGATCAGCCCAGCCATTATGCTGCTGTATCCCGAGTTGAGAGTTAGCAACCAGTGAAAATGCCAATGGTTATTTAGCCTCGTCAATACAATTTCCTGTTATTTCGTATCTCAATACGTTTCAATGCGTGAGTATCGCCGCGGAGAGGGTAACATCATTGACTTTTCCATCCCTGCTTTTGATCTGCAACCTGCGATGGGAACCCCACCTCTCGAGCAGCCTCACGCGTCAGACTTAGCTTAATGAACTGTATTGTGGCCCGTACTGGTTACATCGTGTCGATTCTGTCACCTACACACAAGGAAATGCTCTTTTAGCCCATATGGGTCTTGATGAGCTCCAGCGATTACAATACCTTATCAGAATATTGCTGCAGTCAGGCTCGAAAGGTCCCTTCGCCAGCTCGCCCAAAGAGGCCAGTACCTCATCAAAGCTTCCAGAACCGGAGGGGAAAAAGTCTCGATTGCGAATTACGTCAGAAATTCGCCTTTCGTCAATACGTGTTGCTGGCTTGGCAGATAACGACGCTGCTGTTGACCGTACACCCAACGCCGGCCAAGCTTTGGCTTGATACTGTTTTTAACCCCTTCGAACCTTTTCTTTACGCTTGCAAGCGGCTCCGCGAAACTGTGAGTTTTATATGCCATCATGTCTTGTTGTGAAGTGCACCCCGTATACTTCAACACCTTCTCAGGTAGGATTGCTGCCCGGCGTCGTTCGGGCGTGAGATGATGCAGAAGAGCCGATATTGGCTTCGTCGGAGGACTACTTACAAGCTTTGTAGCTAGGTGTATGTTGCATCCTCTCGCGCTATGGCTACCGCAAAATAATGCGTAAGTGATTCAAAAAGCCTGAAATGAAAGTAACATCAAAGCGTTGCAATCTGTCAACGGATGACATTTCGAGTTCAACCCCAGGAGGCCAATGCTTGGCGTCCGTGACAGGCCGCACTGCTTGGGGGAGAGTCTACCGCAGATACGCATAGAAGTATGATTTTTTAGATAGGGCTGCGTCTATCGGAGGGCATGAATCTTTAGTAGAGTTCTAACTTTAAACAAGTCGCGCATGGCTTGACAGACAGCCTGGCAAAGGTGCAAATGCTGCGACGGGCAAATCATGGGCAACTGAGAAATTCACGGCATAGAGAGAATCGGCAGGTTCGCCCAAGGCGTCTTGTTACATTAATGGGGCATGACTATCATCAGACATTACATCCACCACAGTCCGTCGCACGCGACATCCTTCTCCTATGACGAGGCAGTGGGCAGGCACTCACACGCTGAGCTGACACGCGAGATGACATTCTGTCCGCAAGCCTTCGACGCATACTCGGGCACGACAGACACGTCAGCGACGAAAGTCTTGGTGAACTCGCCGCAGAACTTCTGGCTCTCCTCGAGACGGCCAGAGATGGTGGACGCGCGCATGGCGCGCAGGCAGTTGTCGGCGCTGCAGGCATTGGGCTTGCAGGACTCGCGCTTGGTCATCTTGACGAGGTAACCGCCACGCTCAATAGTGTTGACAAAGATGTAACCAGACTTGAAGTAAGCGTAGGATGACCATGAGCCAGAGAAGGCGGGGACACCACCGCCAGGAGCGTCATCGTCCTCGGGGTAGATGTCGAAATAGGCGATCTCACACACACCATTACCAGTAGGGTCCTGGGGCACGGAGGAGACGTCGTAGACGCGGACACCGGCGCCGTAGTTGGACTGGTAGATCAGATCGCCGTTGACGTATTGGTTGTGGTCAATGGAACGAACGGAGCCCTTGTAGATGCCCGTCTGCTTGGGGTTCTCAAGGGACTTGATGTCCCAGATGTAAGTGACGGGATATCCATCGGCGGCGGGGCCGGTTGTGCGCTCCTCGTCGTACTCGTCATCCATGAAGAGCCACTCCTGATTGTTGACATCGTTGACCCAGCCTTGGTGGGTGTACTCGGCTCCCTCGTACGAGGTGCGGGAGATGATGGTCGAGTTGCGCTTGTCGGTGACATCGTAGCTGCGATGTGTCAGTGAAATGTACTACATAGGGATCAACAGGAAGAAAATGCTTACATGGTGAGAGTATCCTCGTTGTAGCCGTAGCAAATGTCACGGCCGACATATTTGGAATCCGGGCCGCGGTAGATGAGGCACTGCGCATCGTGAACATAGCCATCATCGCCATTGCAGCCCAGATCGACGGGCTTGGAGGGATCCTTCAGGTCGAAGAAGTGGAGGCCACCCTTGCAGCCCTGGTCGCGAGGGGTCACACCGACGGCAACACCGTACTGGGCCTCCTCGTTGATGACGACATTGTGACTGCGGCCCAGGGGCAAGGAGGAGTTGAAGTGACCTGTGAGGTCCTTGTCGTTCTTGAAGATGACAGGGGCGTCGGCGGGCTTGATGTCGAGAAGCTTCCTCATGTCAAAGATCTGGATGCCGTTGCCCTGGAGCTCAGAGCCGATGACCATGTAGTGCTTGTAGGAACGGATCTCGGTCCAGTAGGCACGGTCGCTGGTAGGGGCGAACTTGGGCAGGAAGCCGAGGTTGAGCATGCGGCCTTCGGGCAGGATCTCGATCATGGCGCAACCATCGTACATGCCGCTGACTATTGTTTCCATTGTCAGAAACAGCGGCCCAAGGGGGGGTCATGCGCGCACAACGTACCGACAAATTCACGCTCCGACTCGGGATCGGTCCAGCCCCAGGACGAGCTGCCAGACTTGCCACGGTACTCGCGGCCGAAGGAGCCGAGATCCTCGTGGGAGAGGAAGTCGTGCAGGTCCATGTTCTTGCACTTGAACTTGTGCAGGGGGCTGCCCGGGACGGCCTCGGCATAGCCGTTGACACACTTGGTGTAGTTCAGGCGAGGCCACTTGGATGCGTCCATGAGACCAGCGGCTTCTTCAGCCTCCCAGTGGGCCTAAGGGAGTGTCAGTGAGAAGCATGTCCTCTGTGGTAAGATGGGCCGACGACGACATACAATCTTCTTGGCCATGAGATCCATGTGCCTGACGCCAGAGTCAAAGAGCTCCGCAGCACGATCCTCATCGACGGGGAGCTCCCTGCCCACGACGGCAGTAGCAGCCGTGAGGGCGACAGCAGCAGAGAAACGCATCTTAGGCAGTGAAGTGACAACAGGATGCGATAGCCAAGGATGAAGCAGAGATGGCGCGAGAGATCTCCGGGATGGCACGCGACGTGAAGAGGTCCGGGTTGGAGTTGAGGTTTCGGATGGCGTAAGCAAAGAGATCCCGCGAGAAATGTACAGGACGCGACATGGTATTTATTGTCGGCCCGGTGGTTGTCTCAGGGCTCCAGTTCGCTTCCTCCATGTCGGCTCGGGTTGCGTCGCCGGAGGGGCAGCTGGTAAATTGGGCGGCTGACGGCGGCGACAGCGGGACGCACGGATTCTGCATGATGAGGGAACCATTGGAATAATTTGGAAGGTCTCATGGTGAGCTCTGTCCCGGTCGCTTGGTCTCATGGCGGGCGGCTTCCTGAACAGGCAGGCCAAGAGGTCGCTCGCGCGGTGGCCATAGCACTAAGGGAGGGGTAAGACGCAGGCCAGCTGCGAGGGGAGGCCGGGCCCTGGAGGAGGTTTTCGAGGTATTTCGCCGTGATAAGCTTGCGGGGTGAACCTGGATGGCATGGGGTTTGACAGAGATGGATGGGGTCTTGAGATGGTTGGCATGGTTGGCATGGATGTCGAGAATTCGAGCTTGGGTTCGATCAGGAAGGAGCGTTGAGGATTGCGGGGGGGGCCAAGGCTGCCAAGCCTCATGGTCCGCCGTGTCTCCCTGTTGCCTTGCCACCAGCACCGATGACAACCGATTATGTGCGCTGTTGATTGGTGGTTTCGGCCAGCCCCTGATTGGACGGCGATCGCTGGGCCCATTGGCGAATCAAGAATCGGGTGGCTTCGGCAGCGTCCGATAAGGTACGAGGTGGCTTGTGGCGCCGACGGCACTTACTTGGGGCTTAGCGGTTTCTGGTCAGTCTCATTTCACTGCTTTGCCTCTGTCCTCTGTTCCTACATCGTCAGATCTTCGTCGAAAAGTCAAATAACCGGGTACAGATCCTTGCGTCCGCCATGCTCATGAGTCATGTCAGCGTCAACCTCAACGTGCTCCATGTCTAAAGAACTCTGTCGACTATGGGTTTTCAATTGGACCTCCATGAGTCTTGGCCATTATTCCTAGAATATCAACGCCTGATCTCAGAGCAGAATTCTGTTGCTCTTGACAAGTACATCTCTGGGTTCAGCGTGAGGGATATGCTTCGGACGCCAAACGGAATCATCACAACACATCGACCGGTCCTCTGCACCATCAGAGCTATTGGACCGCCCCACACAAGCAGACTGCGTTGTGGTCAACCTCAGTCAAAATTACCCTGTCTGAGCAATGCCTCGAGAACCGAAAACACCCAACGGATGAAACGCTTCACTCAAGCCTAGCTCACCTGCCGCAGGTCTAACACTCCTACGCTTACTTAATAACACGATCATCATGCTCGATCGTGGGAAGACAAGCCACAGAACTCAACCCTAACAAGTGTCCTCAGCAACCGTGATTATTACAAACAAGTTGCTTATGCTTTAGCCTGAAGACAACCGCACTTGGTAGCGCCCCGCGCCGGGTCACCACTCAAATGTCCTCACCTTCCATCATCCCCGCCAACCACACTCACAGCGGCTTCTGGCCCGTGACGACCAACACATTGAACAAGGGATGCACCGTCCTGTCCCTCGCAGCAGCCCTGACGCCGGCGTTCAGCACCGTCACTTCCTCCTGCCGCCACCCCAACACGTCCCTAAAGAGCGCGGCCGTGAAGCCCTCGACGCCCTCGACAAAGTTGCTGCCCATGAGCGTGCCGCACTCCTTCAGTCGCGGATCCTTGGGCCAGCTGCCGATCGGCAGCTTAAAGCTCTGCTGCTGGACGTTTTCAAACCCAACGTCGAGCGTCCACTGCTTCATGGATGGCGCGGGGTCCATGGTCCGGCCGATCTTGTCGCACGCCTCCATGAGCCCGTTCATCATGGTGAGCATCGGGTTGTCGGGCTGGAGCGAACCGTCTTCGGAGAGGAGCGTGTTGGCCGACTCCTGAAACTCGACCCAGCCGCCCGGTTTGAGGTTCTGGTAGATCTGCCGCACGAGGCGGGGCCAGTCCTTGATGGCGCCAGCCATGTACCGGCAGTGGATGTAGTCGTAAGGCTGTGGCTCGACCCAGTCGAGCTCGACGTCGTCGACGTTGAACTTGACGTTGGGCGGGGTCCATTCCGGCTGGATGGGACTGAGGTCGTTGCCGACAATGAGCTCGGCGCCGGGGTAGAGGTCGCCGAGATGGATGGGCCAGATGCCCGTGCCCGTGCCAATGTCGAGAATGCGCAAGCCTGTCGGATCAATCGGTGCCAGGAACAGGTTGTCGTTGATCAAGCGGAAGAAGACGTGGTGCACCATGTCGAGCCTGTCTTGCTCCTGCTCGTCGTTAGGAAAGTTGTAATGTCCCGACTGGTAAGCATGGTATCGACGGCCGTGGCGAAACTCGTAGTGCATGACGCTGGAATGGAGAGACGTGCTGGCGTTGGAGACCTCATCGCCAAGGTTGGAATTGACTTCGTCAGGGTCAACCTCGATCGGCGCTTGCTGTGAGAGAGCCGGGTTCTGCGGGGACGACGACTGTCCTCCCAGCTGTGCCGCGTCTAATTCGGCAGCTGGGGTAGGGGTGACCGTTGACCTGTCGGGCTGTTGGCTTGTCAAGTCGGCCATGGTGCACGAGTTGAAGGGTAAGAATGCTAAGAGTACTGGAAGGGGGAACGACGGTAGACATATGAAGGAGGAAATAAAGATCTCGCGCTCGTCCTTCTCCGTTGGGCCGCAGCTTCTTGTGTTGGTGGGATCACCAGGACCCCTGCTTGACGTCACATCCTGGGTGAGGAGTGGGAAACGAGGGAAAAGTGTAGCCATGCAGGCGGAGAGCCAGGTTCCAACAGGGACTGGCCAGATTTAAAATGGGGGCGCCCACATGCAACTCCTGACAGGTACTATGTAAGTGATTGTCTGTTGGTGGTCTGATATTTGTCCTGTCTCCACGGGCTGCGCGGGGGATCTACAACGCGTCCAACCCAACGGAGCTTAGCAGTTGGGTGCACGCCTGAACAAGGTGATCTCAATAGCGAACAAAACCAGACTTGTGTAGCAAAAGTGTGCACTCTTGAATCCTGGACGGCATGAGTCTGAACTGAAGCCTAGCTAATATATATCACCACTCGAGTTTCATTTTCTTCACTGTCCAGTCGGGGATTCCCTGATGCGTACTGGGTGCCCCCCCGCCCCCCTGGTACAAGAGACCAAGGTTCAAAATGTCGGGGCTTCCGATTATACTTGCAGCCTAGGTCACCTGCTAATATCGTCATCTAAAGCCAGGAGTTGAAGACTCGGATGTAGGCCATCTTGACGAACTGCACAATGATGCAGTACGCAACGAGCTCGGCAGCCAGGATGCCGACGAAGGTGTCTGCAGGCCGGACCATGTCCAAGATCGGCCAGAAAGGTGGAATGTATGGCACAATAAATCCGATCAACATGATGCCGCAGGTCGCGAACACCAGAATTGGAGCTGCCCTGCTTTGGAACACAGGAATTTTAGCCGTACGCAAAAGATGTACGATGAGTGTCTGGGTCAGGAGCCTGCAAGTGGGTTAGACGGTTCTTGTCGCAGCCATCACATGTACTCACCCTTGTAGAAACCAATGTGTTTGGAACAGAGAAACTGCCGACGCGTCGTCCGCAGACTGGATGCCATAATAGAACCAACCAATGCAGAAGGTGCACATGTCGATGGTAGAGCTCGTTGGGCCAAGAACGATGATGAAACGCAAGAGATCTGTGACTGTCAGTAATAGACCTAGCCCAACATCTCACGTGCTGACCAACCCAGGGACGCCCACTGCTTGGGCTGCTCCAAATATTCGTCATCCATTCGGTCCCATGGAATCGCAACTTGGCTGACATCGTATAGAAGGTTCTGAACCAGCAGTTGTAAACTGCTCATCTGTAATGAAAGGTCAGTCCACTGCACAATTCAAATGTCCTCCTTCACTGACTGGTGTAAACGGCAGCCATGAACTGGCAATCAAGATGCTGAAAACATTTCCAAAATTGGAGGATGCCACCATCTATGGATCTGTTAGCCACTTTCACCATTTTTGAGCAACAGAAAACCCACCTTGATATACTTGATCGAGTTCCCTTGCGTGACACGCCCGACTCTGACACCGTCTGCAATGATGTCCAGGCCCTTTTCGGTCAATATGACTTGTTGCGATCAGCAAATGACGACATGTCGTGCTCATGTATGCTCACCATCAGCAGAATCCTTTGCAGCTCGGGTACCGGAGTCAACCGAAACACCAACATCAGCAGCTCGAAGAGCAATGCAATCGTTGACACCGTCGCCGAGCATGCCCACGCAGTTACCGGCGGCCTTCAGTCGGTTGACAATCTGCGCCTTTTGCATCGGCGTAAGTTTGGCGAAGACTTTGCATTTCAGTACCATCTCGTCATACTCATCCGTGCCCTCGAGCCGAGCGAGCTCTGGGCCCGTGATGGCCTGGAGATCGTCATGATCTACCATATCGACGAGATTGATAGCTTGGCAGATATTGACGGCTACGCCGAGATTGTCGCCTGTCAGGATCTTGACCTCGACGCCCGAAGCCCGAAGGCGAGCTACAGACTCAGCGGCATCGTCTTTCACCGGGTCCAGGAACGTCAGCATCCCCTCCAAGGTCATATTCGACTCGATATTCTCAAAAGAGTCTTCGTCATCGTGAACAAAGTCCGGAATCTGTCGAGTGGCAACCATGAGAACACGATAGCCGGATACCGCCAGTCGGCCGGCTTCAGCTGTGAGGGCTGAACGAGTGGCCGCGTCGATGGGCTCGTCCTTAATGCCACGGCGGACCCGTATACAAAGGCCAAGGATTTCTTCGAAGGCGCCCTTGCAGATCAGCATCTGCGCCTTGGTAATCCCTCGGACGATGGCTGCCGAGCGACGACGCTCAAATGTGAACGGACTGACGGCCACCTTTTCGTAAAAGGGTATATCGACGTCTTTAGCAATCTCGTCACGATACTTGATAATGGCGGCATCCATATTATTCCCCTGGTTTCCCTGGGAGAATGCGTTGATGTAGGCGAGCTGGAGCGCGCCCCGATGGTCAAGCCCTGCGCAGTCAACATTGTGGCGCATCACAACCTCATCTTTGGTGAGAGTGCCAGTCTAATCCTGTATCAGCGAGATGCTTGGCCGTAGAAATGAATTGACTGACCTTATCACTGCAAAGAATTGACATTGCACCCAGATTCTGAATGGCGTCGAGGCGCTTGACGATGGCCTTTTTCTTGGACAGAATGTGTGCTCCGCGGGCGAGATTGGTGTTGACGATGGCTGGAAGCATCTCCGGAACCAGACCAACTGCGACGCTGATACTAAAGAGCGCAGCCTGGCCCCAGTCTCCGGTCACTTTACCAGATATCGCGAGAACCTATCGACGCACTTAGCAGACTACTATGCTGAAGGGAGAAAGACGTGACATACGATAGGAACCATGACAAGCATGAACCCAATCAACATATAGGAAACGTTTCTGATCCCTCGTTGGAAGGCATTGAGATCGCGCCTCTTCGACAGTTGCTTCAGAGTGGATGCGATGAAAGTGTCTGCAAGAACGGTCGATGAGCTTTGCTAATCGAGTCCACGAGCACTGTCGGCCACTCACCATTACCAGTCCCGATAACCACAGCAAAGCCGCTTCCAGACACGACGCTGGAGCCCATGAAAGCTACGTTTGTCAGATCGAAGAGGCTGATGTCGCGCGTCTTTTCGTCGCCAAAGGTGGCCGGCGCCTTCGTAATTGGCATGCTTTCGCCGGTGAGGCTCGATTGACTGATGCGAAGGTAGTTGGTTTCCAGAAGAATGCAGTCGGCAGCTATGGTATCCCCGGGGGAAAGAACCACAATGTCTCCTGGAACGATGTCCTTCTCATGAACATGAACATCCATCGGTAGTTCTGGCGACGCTCCGGCGGTCGAAGGCCTGCGGCGTACCTTCACATCAGCTGTGACGGAGCTCTGGAGCTTGGCGACGGACATGATGCTGCGATACTCTTGCCAGAATCGGACGGCAGATGATATAACAACCATTGCCATGAGCACGGCAAACGTGTCCTGGTTGAGTGTTAGCTTAAATCTCCTAACGTTGGTGATTGTAATATGTACCCAGCTGCGTCCCGGGGAAGCAACACTGATGATGGCAATGAACGTGAGGAGCAGATTGAAGGGGTTCGGCAGCACCAGAAGCAGCAGCAGCCACCATGAAGGCGGCTTCTTGGACGAGACAATGTTGAGGCCATGTATTTTGCGGCGGTCGGCAGCTTCCGTGGTCGTCAGGCCATGGCGAACAGAGTGAAACTCGGCCAGTAGCTGGATCTCATCCATCTCCGCGTACTGTCTGATCCTTGACTCCGCGGAATCATTGCACGTCGCAGGTGATCCTTTACCCCAGGCTTTCGATCCTGCCCTAGTCAGCAATGAACTTGGTGCATGATAACTCGCTTGCTGAACGAACCTTGTTTCTGCCCCACCATGCTGCGAATCTGCTGTGTCATGTTGTCGAACATTGTGGCTGTGATTGCCTGTTCGCACTTTGGTTCGGTTGAGCTTGTTCATCGAAATCGAGTACGCGATCTCAAGGAGGGCGGTAACGGGTCGGCTGCAGAGTTCCGGCAGCCAGTTGGTTCCCAAACTTTGCGTGATCGCGTAGCGCCAGCGTAGCGGTCGTTCAAGTCAGTATAAGAGTATTGGTGGACTTCTTCCGTTCGTTCGCAGCTGCGTCTGGATTTGTTATTCCAATGGAACGACGGTGTGAAAGGGGGAGCTGGGCGAGTTGTTATAACAAGGCCTTGTTGGCGCCGCGAAGCAGTCAAATTTTTTCAATCAGACAAGACTTATGCTAAGGCTTGGTTATCATGGCATCTCCACGTTGCGGCTGAACTTTGGTCAACATTTTGATGTAAGTCGTTGCATCGGCCCGAGAATCTTGGGTGGACGCGCGTCGCTTGGCAACACGGCACACTACTGGGATACCAATTGCCTGAGCGAGTAGTTTTGACGAACCTTAAAGTCCGGGCTCAGAGTCATACTCAGCCAACAGACGCTATTATGACTATTATAACGTGAACCATCAATCCGGATCGTACGATGCCTCATGTGTAGACTGCATAAGTGCCCAGGCCAGGCAGACGAGGGGCATGCCGCACGGTCTGCTCGTCGTTATTACGTCTAATTTCTGCCGTAGAGTGACTAAGAGCCTGTGCAATAAGCTAGTTGAAAGTATAGAGATAGAGCCTGCCTAGTTACATCTAGCCACCGAGATCGTGTTCACTATCATGAAAGCTTACTGGGTGGCTCTCCGGAATTCCGGCATAGAAGTGGTTCAAGGAGGACCCATGCCTCTTTCTACTTCGGATAGGACACGGCTGTGTTCGGTCTGATACGTCAGTACTCGTATCCAACTTGAGTTTTTCGGGCCAGGTATTTTAATCGGAGAGTGTCAGTGCGTCCTGCCATATGAGAGATGAATGTGAAATCGTCCTTAGTAATGCAAGGCTCATTTGTGTAATAGTTTACGCAGGCACGAGTAATTGGGGTCATATAAGGTTCTGTGACTATGCAGCGTGTGCCGTATCATGCGGTTATGGATACAGTCCTATGCTTCGTGTCAGTACCGAGATACTCCAGCAACCGAAAATCTCCTTGCCGTGATTGACCGACTATTGCCCCTGCTTTTACATAATAGCCTGACTTCATTCGCGCCCTAGTACAACAGCTCCGCCTGATGCACGTATCTATCATAGCGTTTACACGGTCTTCTCTTCCTCCTGCCAAAAGAGAAGCCATCTTTCAGCCGTCGAAAGCTTCGAGAAGAAGAACTCCAGAAAATCGAAGAACGTTTCCAAAGACATACATCGTCATTGCATATCCCAGACAGATCGGTTCTCTCCGGAGCCACGGAATCGAGCAGTCTCACGATGGCCCGTCCCCAGCCCTCAGCGCTGGAACACTGATACGTCTCTTCAATTAGTTCAGGAAAGACGAAGCACTATTGTATAGCTACCAGCGTCCGAGTTACACAGAACAGGAATTCCGTCTGATAATAATCCATTGATTGAAACGATCAAGAGCTGATCAATACTTATGGATATCACAACGACGAAGTCATCGATATGGTTGGAGCTTCACTGCAACATCCGCCCTACGCAAGCTCCCGTACACGACAGGCAGGACATGGTGCTGAACAGGTACAATCCCAGACTCCAGTGCATCATCGGCTTGGCAAGACTCAAGCATTATCGCCGCCAGAGGATTTGGCCGCCTTGTCTCGACCGCGCAAGCTCGGGTCGTCAGCCTGACGCAACTCCCATTCCTGAGCGACCCGGCGGTCGGGATCGCGATCGCCAAGATGTGTGTTCCCCATGGGGTATATATGGGTTTCTTCACGCCAGCTCTGGAGGATGTGAACAACCGCACACCTCCGTCTAAGCCACAAAGTCACAGCCATCAGATTGTACAAGACACCTCTTCTTCTGTCCTTCACAAACGAACAGTACGAGCAATCCCAAAAATACACCACCGCAACCATGTACGCCCTCGCCCTGTCTGCCCTCTTGCCCCTGGCCTCAGCCGGCCTCATCAAGCGCTGCACGCCAATCTCCGACCCCGACGTCGCGGGCGGCGTCATCCCCCCCGCGCCTTGCTGGTTGACCTTCAACGCGGCCTGCGAGCGCTACATCGCGCCCGACACGGAACTCACGATCGACGAGACGCACAATCTCATTGTCGTGCACGGTATTTCGGAGGAATGCGTCGCCGACATTGAGGAGGAGCACGCGCGCGAGGAAGACGGACGCAAGACCTTTGGATGGACCGAGGAGCACGGCAAGCTGCACCCGATCGGCGACGGCATTCTCGTCATCTCGGGCGTCGCCGACGAGACGATCCAGCAGTACCAGTCGCTGACCCTCGAGGGAGAGGCCCCCGCTGCGCCTGAGGGCGAGGCGCCCGCCGAGGCTGCGGAGCCTGTTGTCGGCCAGGGAGAGCCCGAGGGTGAGGCCGCTGCTGCTGCCCCTCCCGCCCCTGCCATGTGAGACAGGATGAAGAAAACGGCAGAGGTGTCGAGCGACTGGAATGCGAGGGAATGATGGGACCTGGGGGGGTGGATCGAGATGGGAGAATTGGGGCATGGCAATGTACTGGTTATGTAGAAATGAGATGGAATTCGCTTGACGCAAGATGTGGTATTCGTGATTAGTATCGCGCTCAAGCCGAGTAGTTGACGAGCTTCTTCGTCTCGGCCACGGTTCGCTCCCAATCCTTGTCCGTCGTGAGACTCTTGGCGATTCGGATGACCTCATTGAATTCTGTCTGTGTGACTTTATTGACGCTCAGCCGCGACTGTTTGAGAAGCTGCATGTTTTTCAGCGGGCTGTCACCAGGGAGTTCCTTGATCAAGCGCAAGGGCACGATGGCGGGGAACTTGTGCTCGATTTTCACATGGACGAGGCTCCATTTGCTGCCGTCGTGAGGGGCCGAGGCATCATAGTAGGGATTGTCGTTGATGCAAGCGTTCCCTAGGCTGGTTAGTGTTTTTGAAGACCAGGAAGCAGTGAGAGGCGACGTACAGTCTGGCGAGTGTTCCTTCACGATGGTCATGAGGCCAACAACGCCTGGTTCTTTACAGTTTGAGTGGTAGAAGAAGGCCTTGTCGCCCTTTTTCATCTGCCGCAGATTGTTTCTGGCAACGTAGTTGCGAATGCCTTGGGGACATCAGCCATTGTAAGGTGGAGCGCGGACAGAACAGCAGACGACCTAGCTGAAACTCACCATCCCATCCTTCGGGCATCTTTCTTTCGCCAAGGTCATCGATTGAAAACTTGATCTCGTACCCGTCCTCGATGCGAACGTCGGGCTCGGATTTCATGAGCCAGAACATGGGCGCATCAGGTGGGTCGCGCGCCGGTCGTTCAGGGTTGACATCAGGAACGTCCTCGTAGGCATCACGTAGCGCCTTGAGCTCGTCGATGGATTTTCGCGGCGGTGCCGTCTTCTTGGACGCAGCTCCAGATTTCTGCAGACGAGGTTAATGACAGCTTCATCTGGCCAACAGCACCCAGCGTTTTCCGTTGACTCCAGGAAGGAAGACCGACCTTGGCGGGCTTGGCGGGCGGGGCAGCTTTGGGTTCTGGCGAAGTGCTCTTTGGTTCAGCCTTGGGCTCTGGTTTCGCTTTGCCTCTTGGTGCTGGTTTCGACTTCGTGGCTTTTGTGCTGGGCTTCGAAGTTGCTGCGTGACGCTTGGCAGGCGGCGAGTCCTCATCAGACGCGTCGCTCTGTCGCTTCCGGGTCTTTGGCGGTGGTGCGGCCGGGACGGACTTTGGTGTGTCTTGCCTAGCAGCGGCCTGACTTCGAGTGAGCCTCACCATGGTTGACGCAATTGGTGATTGATGGTAGCTGATGAAGCTGGGTCTTGATGAGACGAAGCCCTGATGGATATGCTGGGCAAGCGCGCGTCGAGACGAACTGATGTCGCGTCATGGGAGAGCAGGTGGTCGCAGCTGGCAGAAACCTCGGGCGCAATCGGCTCCCTCTTCAGCTGGTGTCAGCAGTGCCTTCAGCTGTCAGCAGTGCCATCAGCTGTCAACGGTGCCTTCAGCTGTCAAAGGTGCCCAGCGCGCGAAGGCCAGACCCCCCCGCGGTTCCCGACGTCGGCTTGCCTCGGAATGGCGGGGTCAGAGCCGGTGATGCTTCGACTACCTGCCCGCCCTCTCCCTCTGACTTCGTCTCTATCATCTGCTCTGCCTACCACCACTACCTACTGCAGTCGGCACCTACCGCCACTACCTACTTCGACCAGTGTCACGTTGATCATCCTGCGATTGGCAAACACGCTCTCGCATATCCTCGAAACCTCACCTTCAGCAACATCTCTCCAACGACATCCGAAACCATGGCGACCGAACTCGAGCACCCGCCCTCCTCCTACGCCCACCTCCTGCCCCCGAGCTGGACGACCCAAGTGACAGCCTGGCTCGCCGAAGACACGCCCTCCTTTGACTATGGCGGCTTCGTCGTCGGCGAGGCGCCCCGCACCGCGACCCTCTGGGCCAAGTCCCCTGGCGTCCTCGCCGGCGTCCCCTTCGCCACCGAGACGTTCCGCCAGTGCGGCTGCACGATCACCTGGCACGTCCCCGAGGGCACGCTCCTCGCCCCCCAGCCAGGCGCCCCGCTCGCCGTCGCCTCAGTCGCCGGGCCCGCGCGCGGCGTCCTCCTCGCCGAGCGCGTCGCCCTCAACACGCTGGCGCGCGCCGCCGGCATCGCCACGTCGGCACGCAACACGGTCGCCGCCGTCCGCGCCGCCGGCTACACGGGCATCCTCGCCGGCACGCGCAAGACGACCCCCGGCTTCCGCCTCGTCGAAAAGTACGCCATGCTCGTCGGCGGCGCCGACGCCCACCGCGTCGACCTCAGCGCCATGGTCATGCTCAAGGACAACCACGTCTGGAGCCGCGGCAGCATCACCGACGCCGTGCGCGCCGCCAAGAGCGTCGCCGGCTTTGCGCTCAAG